GGGACATGTCATTAACAAAACATACACAACCAAAACCACGAGGAGAAATGTGGAAAAGAGGATTATCTAGAAATAGAATAGAGACAGGGACCTTATGATTGAGATAGGATGATGACATCCGATTAATAAGAAAACATACCGTTAAGATGACATCTCCCCAATGATGGATTGGAATATGGGCACTAAGCAAAAGGGTACGAACAGTTTCAACCAAGTTTCTATTTTTCTTTTATGCTATACCATTTTGTTGTGGCGTATGAGGACAAGTGGACTGATGCAAGATACCATGTGAACTCAAAACGACGGAAAAAGCAGATGAGAAGTACTCTTTGGCATTGTCACTTCTCAAGATTTTGATCACTTGCCCGAATTGATTCTTAATTTCATTAAAAAAGGATATGAAGATGGATAATAATTCAAAGCGATCTTTTATAAGATAAACCTAAGTACATTTCGAAAATTCATCAATGAAAGTAACAAAATACCTAAAATCGAAAGATGAGACATAACTAGGTTCCCATATATCAGAATAGATGATAGAAAAACTAGAATTACTTTTTGATTGAGACCTTTTAGGAAAGCCAGATCTAACATGTTTGCCTAGTTGACATGACTCACATTCTAAGGTTCGGAGACCACTAAGTTTAGGACACTTTTTTTAACTTGGACAAATGAGGGTGGCCAAGCCGATCATGTAACATTTTAGGACTAGGGGCTGCAACACATGACACTTGTGGGCGAGATCCAAAATGATATAATCCTCCTGCTTCATATCCTTCTCTAATCTGTCTCCCCGAACCACGCTCCTCAAACCACGCTCCTGTATAACAAAAGATTTGTTATCGAAGGTTAATGAACAATTTAACATTTTGGTTAACTGACTTAAGGAAATTAAATTGAAGGGACAATTAGGGACAAAAAGGACATATTTTAGATTTAAGGAGGGAGACAGGATGACTTGACCGACTCCCTTTGAGGAAGTTTTAGAGCCATTTGCAAGGGTTATAAAATGAGGTTTGTCTTGAAATGAAATGGTTGAGTACAAGGAGGTATCACCAGAGATATGGTCAGAAGTACCGGAATCAATTATCCATGAATTGTGACTTTCCATGGATTGAGAGATGCAAGTTGTTGATGTACTTGTAGCTTGAGATGGCTGTGCCAAGCTGTTGGACTTGAGTCATAGGTACTCTTGATACTCATCCTCAGTGAACTTGGGTTCAGTCGTTTTAGCCTGAGAGACATTGGTTGTTTTGGAAAGAAAATTGTGTAAGGAGTAACAGTTTTCCTGGGTGTGACCCATCCTTTTGCAATGTGCACTGAGGACGTCCACGACCACCACGTACGCCTCCTCTTCCTCGAGTGGCGACCATAACGGATGGTTCTACTAGAGCAGGAGTTTCCATAATTCCATGTGTTCGGACATGAACCATGCGTTGGATTAAGCTATCCATGGAAGGGACCTCATGAGAGGTTAGAAGTTGATCTTTGATATGGTTGAAATATGGATGTATAGCGCGAAGAATCATCACCATATAGTATTTGTCATGCTTTTTCATTTAATCTAAAGCGTCGACCTCCAAGAACATCCACAGGTCTTCCACGACTGATTGTGCTTCATTCATGAAGGAGATCATATCATGGTTGGTCATTTTCAGAGATGCCAGCTTGTTTGCCGAATCATAAAGGCGTTGGATATCATTGACATATATGTTTTGAGTCCTCTTCCAAAAAGAGTGACATGTCTGAAAGGCCTTAAGAGACATTAAAAGTCTTGACTCCACGCATTGCCACAACAAGGCACACAACTGAAAATCTGCTTGCTTCTACTGTTTGGCTTTTTCTTTAGGCACATGACTTTCGTCTTTCTCAAGATGGTCATGATGTCCCTGGCCAAGGAACCACATCTCGACGGCAGCGGACCAAGAGAGGTAATTTTGTCCGTTTAGCTTCTCAGAAGTAATGGAAGGACTTCCAGAGAATGAAATAGCGCTTCCAGCACTTCCAGTTGCCATATCTGATCTAGAGGACAAAAAACAGAGAGCAGATAAGCAAAAACAGCGAAGATTTTTGAAAGCCCTAGGGAGATTTCCGAAAGGGGAACGTTTGGACTTCACCAAAACAAACAGAGGAGGCCGGACGATTGCTGGAAAGTGGCCTGAAAGTGACCGGAAAGTTGTCGGGAAGTTGCCGGAAAGTGGTCGGACGGTGGTCGGACTGTGACCGGAAGGACAAAGCTAGATCAACCTGCTCTGATACCAACTTAAGATTAATAAAGAAAAATATATCTTCAGGGCTTACGAGACCCTTCCTTTCTTCTATTTATAATGGAAATGTGATACAATGAGACATAGAAGACTAAGTAAAAGACTGCAACTAGGACTCTAGGTGCAGATCTAGATACAAATGTAGGAGGTTTCCCACACTCAATACCCTATACTTAGGTCTAATGATAATACTAGGAAGTAATGATTCTAACATTTTTAAATGGGTATGTAGGGTTTCTAAACTTGCCAAAATTTTCTGGCTATTTTTAGTTGCTATACTAACTATAGGGTACCATTCCAAAAAATTTACAAGATCGAACCAACTATAAAATTTAGAGAGCTTAAAAATTATTAAATAGTTTAGGGACCTATTTATTAATTTATCCTCCATATATATAGGCAGCTATTTAATCTTATGATTATTTATTTACTAATTTGTTTTTTTTACAAAACAAATGCAGAAATTGTATGACACTCCTGGAGTTCATCTCCATCATAGGCAAACGGCGGTTGTTCAATCTGAAGATCTACCTTCTCTAGCTCCTCGAAGCCGACTGAGGGGGCTTTCTTTCCCGGTATGTTTATGTTCAGAACTATCTTTTAAGGCATTTTGCCATCATGGGTGATTCTTACTTCATCCGTATTGTTATTGCTAGAGTTCTCTAGTATCTGCAGACCATGTAGAAGGAGCTTCCATACTGAATGGCTTGAATGCATTTTCAATTTTCTGGGGAGGTCTTGTTAGAATTGACGTCTTGAAGGTTTTGATTATTTATTTACAACTTTGGCATCTTTTCATACGACTATTTACTTTACAATTAACTCACTTTTCCTTGGCTAAAAAATTTCATCAGTCCTGATAATTTCAGGTTCTGCCGGAAACTTGTTTGACATTTTATGGGCCCAAGAAAATACCGATTCATATGGTACCCACGGAACAAGCAGATGAATTTTATCAGGTATTGTTCTTCAATATGTTTAGAGAAACCATTTCAGATTAAGCTCAATACTTTTGCTTACATCTGGAGTAAAACTGGTATAATTCGTAAACGCTTAACCTGTTTGTGCTTGCAAATTTGAACAACAAAGTATATGTTCAGTTGTAAGGATAAATAATGTTACTTCAGTTTTTCTCGTGTAATAAAAAAATTGAGAATGCGAGTTTTTGGTATGTATTTATTGCCACCAGTTTGTAATTTTTCTGCTTCTGTTTACTTTAACATCATTCCGAACAAAAGAACTTTATTTGGTGTACTACTGCTATAGTTTCATATGTTTTGTCTAATTAGAGGTGAAGAAGCTATTTCAATTGAATAAGATTATGTAGACAGCGTCAGCATACTGGGGAGGAATTTATAACTACTACTTGTTGTGTACATGTAGAATTTCAGTAGACTATGGAATTTTGTCAGAATTGTAAATTTATGTATATTACCACCTCTAACCTGAATGAGGGTTTCTCTTCATTGTCACAGAAAGAACTTGGAGTTCTTCTGATTCCACCAAGTGGAGGAGAAAATGCTGAGAACTGGAAAGGACTTGAATCAGAGCGTAAATTGCAAATAAAGTTCGAAGATGTGGAAAGGTATGATCCCGATTTAGTTCTGTTATAGGTACTTTTTAAGAGGTTTTATTTTGTTTTCAATTTTTGAAACCTTGTTTATCTCATTCTTTTCATTGATTGAATTCATTTAATAAAAAAAGCTTATATTTATGAATATTTTTTGAAATATGAGATTCCTTGTTTTTCCTTTTGGGCAGACCAGCATGTGATATAGCTATATCAGGTCTAGGATGGCTTACTGTCGAGCCAGTTCACAGGTCACGCAAAATCTCACAACCAAAATCTGTAGAGACCGCCGGGGAATTGAGTTTGGTCGTGCACGTCCCCAAACCTGTTGAGATTTTTGTGAGGCCACCGATCCCGGTAGGCAAGGCTGGAGCAGAGTGGTACCAGTATGTAGAATTAACAGAGAAAGAAGAGGAGATGAGACCAAAATGGTACTTTTGAACTGTGGGTTATTCTATGTATTGTTATTATTTTTGGGGGAGGGGTTATTTCTTCTTCGGACTTAATTCTTACCATTACCCAAATCTTCGGGCAACCCATTTTCCATGTCTTAGTAATGTGATTGATTAGTTTCGAAGTTGGACAACGATGTCACCATTTCAAAAGGAGGGAAACATGGCAGAGCAATGTCAGTATTTTGCCATTTTCCCTTAATATGTACTTGTAGAGCGTGGAAGGCTGAAATTATTCTTAAATTTTCTACGGTAAGATTTCACTCTTGCTGCCGAGGATGAACCCTTAAACGCGCAGCTTCAGCAAAGGGCACGGATGGTCAGTAACCTTAAATTTAATAATATTTGTTGAGACATTTGTTTTATTTTTTTAATATGAAACAGTTTTACACTGTAATAACTTCAAATTTAAAAAACATTTCTGAATAGTCTAATTTAAATAAAGATTCAATTTTTTTATAGGATGACTAAAAGTTCCATTTTTTTTTTCAAGAAATATTATGTATCAACAGTTAATAACACGAACAAAAAAAATGATCCACATCGGTCGGCGGTTATAGACAGTTAGTTTTTGTTTTGAAATGCATACCTCATTCGGGAAACGTAAGAAGCAATTCCAACTGCATGCAATAAGCATTGCATGCTTATTTATGTAACTAATTCATTTCTCTGCCTCTGTACATCTCTTGATATCGTTTTCTCACAATAACAATGGCTCCATCTTCTGTCACTTCCCGTTTTCATGAATCCGTCACTCGCCATGCACTTTGCTCCTATCTCTCTGAGTTTATCTCCACTTTCTTCTACGTCTTTCTTGTTGTTGGCTCTGGAATGTCCTCACGTCAGTATCCTCATTGCCTTTCCCTCCCATAGTACATAAATACATTGCTAAGTATACGTGCATATTTCTGTTCACTTTTTTTTTTCACATAATATGATGTATCATATTTCACAACCATGATGAATTTTCAGAAAAGAAAAGGGAACTAAATCAGTTTCTAAAGCCATTATGGTGTTTGTTACGCTTGTAAAGGATTCAGGTTGCAAGTTTTATGTTAGACGGTACTACACGTTTCTACATTGAAACATGTAACCACGCAAGGGTAGTTGTCGTTTTTAGTGCAAATCAAATGATTTTGAAGTTACAAGCCCTTAAAAACCAACTATTCCCCTGTTTGACATTTAATTTCATTCAGTCCTTAAGAAACATGCTTGTCTTTCTTTTTTTGAAAGAAAATTAATTGTCTTATATAAACTTATCTTCTTACAAAGAAGGGATAAAAAGTTTCCTGCATAGCATATGGTTGTGAAATCAGTTGCTTCTCGAAATTCGGCATGTTGTTTACATGGTTCATTTCTCGGAGAATGCAAGTCATTTAGAATTCAACAAGAAGTTTATGCAATAAAACAACTTTACGACTTACAACCCATGAAACCTTTTCTTAATGTGGCATTTTTCCACTTTCGCCTATTTTTTAAAAAATGGAACATGCAAGAATCTAACAGGGTATATCATCTGTTTTCTTTTTTCTTATTTTGTGATTTGATTAATTGGTGTTGGAGAAATGATGACAGGGAAGTTGATGCCTGATGCTTCACTGAACCCAACAAGCCTGGTTGTGGTTGCCATTGCAAGTGCTTTTGCATTGTCTTCTGTTCTTTATATTGCATGGGACATTTCAGGTGGACACGTCAATCCGGCCGTGACCTTTGCAATGGCAGTGGGAGGCCACGTTAGTGTACCAACCGCTCTCTTTTACTGGGTCGCTCAACTTATAGCCTCTGTTATGGCTTGTCTTGTTCTAAGGGTCATTGTTGTTGGCATGGTATATTTCTCACCCTTCACTCACCTAACATAGACCGCATTTCAATTTTCATTTTCTTTTGCTTCTTTACTTTTCTAATCTTTGAAATAAGGAAATTGAACATAATTAATGATTACCAAAATGGTATTTCTTTGAGTTTAATAACCATGTAAGGTTAACATAGAAACTTTATGATATATTTTCATTACCTTGTTATATTTTTGTTGCCTTATCATTATTGTAAGGGTGATATTGTAGAAAGAATGTAAGGAGTTACCAAAAGTCGTGTGACCTAGATGACTTGGGATTGAATGAGTCTATAAAACTGTTTAAACTGACATTGACTATCCTATTTTCTTTGTGTATTATGGATTGAACATGTAAATCTTATTTACTCCTTTCTCTTCTATTTGTGTATTTTCAGCATGTTCCAACATACACCATTGCAGAAGAGATGACAGGGTTTGGAGCATCAGTGTTAGAGGGTTTTCTGACATTTGTTTTGGTGTACACAGTGTATGCAGCCAGGGACCCTAGGCGTGGTCCAATGAGTTCCACAGGCATACTACTTGTTGGCTTCGTGGCTGGGGCAGGTGTCTTGGCTGCAGGTCCATTCTCTGGTGGGTCAATGAACCCTGCATGTGCTTTCGGCTCAGCAACCATTGCAGGTTCTTTCAGGAACCAAGCAGTGTATTGGGTTGGACCCTTGATTGGTGCTACCATAGCTGGACTTCTTTATGACAATGTGCTGTTCCGTTCACTGCCTTCAGGGCTTTCAGAAGGAATTGGGGTGTAAATTGTAGTGTTCAACTTTTTTGTATTTCTTACTAGCTTTATTATTATAGATTAGTGACTGAAGACTTGCTATGTAATATGCTTGTACTATTAATTTGTGAAGGGTAATTTTCACCTATGTGGCAATATTTATGCAGTCTGTTATTGTAATATGCTTTTTATCTTTCCATGAATTAATAATATTGTCTCCTAATTTTCTTTCAATCCCTTTTCTTGTACTTTTCACATCATCATAACAGTCTTATATATCTTTCACCATCATAAATTTGTTGTGAAAATTTTAAACTACAATGTCCTTATATTTTATTTAAATCATTATAATGAGGTACAGCCACTTATTGCCAGGGTTGTCCCGCATGTGAGCCAGAGAAAATTGTAGGCATTATTTAGATTAATTGAAATATTTTTTAATGACTTGTGTTGCCTAAACATAGACCAACTCGATTTGGTTTAAATCCGATTGTAACTTAATTCACACACCTACATGTATGTAGTCCAATTCAGTTCTAAAAGTCATATTAAACGTCATGTAGGGACATGCATAATATTCTAAGAAACTACTTGAGACTTTCCCAACCTATTTCCAAGGAAGCAGAAATTGTTTCAATTAGTATCCCAAAAGTTGACAATTGTTTCAAAGTTCAAATAGTAAAGTCCAACATTGGGAACTAGATGAAGTTAGTTAAGGTAGTTGAAAACAAAAAGAACTCTCAAATCTCATGAAATGATAACCTGTAGTAGTTGATATGATCATAACATTGAACATCGCTTTCTTCTTTATTATATATAGTTACATTCTTTATCCTTTGGCCCCATTTTCCCCTCTATTCATTACAAAACTATAGTTAAAAATAGCAGCTGCCATAAAAGTCAGCTGAGCTAGTCTTCAATTATACCTACCTATATACCCACACTTAAAATTTTTGAACCACTAGCTTTTTCAATTGTTGAATTTGTTTTCATGGAGTGCATTGAGGAAAAAACCTTCCCCTGTTGACATATCTAACATTTTCACATGTAGCAATGGTGCCACCTCTGCCTTCTGGCTCCAAAGTCACATCCTGCAGATAGATTTGTCTGCATGGGACTGCTCTGCTGCAGTCAAATTTGATAGCCACTTCTGACGCACTAGTTCCTCTTATGTTTTGGTATAACACATTGCTTAATTGCACAGCTGAGTCCTGCATGAAATTTCAACAAACATTGTTATGATTACCATACATTTAGGAAAGAAAAAGTTGCTCTCCATGAATTTTGATGGAGATTGAAATCTTGTTACCTGCTCTTGACATGGCTCAGCTTGATCACAGTAGTATTGGTCTATGATTATGGGATTTGTCACACTTTGCATCATTATGTTCATAAATTTGATGTTTCTTGCATACCCAGAGCCTCCCTGTGTTAAGATAGAATCAAAGGATATGAAGTAGGTATCGTCATAAAAATTGCCATGCAAAATTTCCCATGTAATAAATAATGTATAGTTTAAATGAACAATATTTTAAGATTTTGCGTCACTGCCAAATAGCGCTCTATGTAAACGAGAATGAAATGAAGGGTGGTCAAGAAGACAAGAAGCAACAAAGTGGAAATTTGTCAACCTTGGATGAACCATTTGTCAATTCTTGTATCATTAGTCAACTTCCCCATGTTTGTGCCTAAAATTTGGCAATTTTAGCCACCTTATTCCTAAAGTTGAAATTCCTATTTTTTTTTTTGGAAGTTTTATTCTGATTTTCTAAACTTCCATTGTATCTATCCTTTCAACTGTCTCAGAAGTTAAACTAAATTTCAAATCACAAAACCAACTTTCACCTGCCAAGTCTTTATTCTCACTCCATTAGTGGTTCCTGTTAAGGTAGCTCTGTTCACTACCACATTGGACACTTCAGCTTCTGAGTTATCAGCACCCAAGCTTCCAATGCTACAACACAAGCATTCATATAAAATTTAGTAAAATTGATCCAACAACTTGTATGTGGTATAACATATTTATGTATCATAAATTAACCTTATTCCATGTCCAGGTCCGCAGGTTATATCTGTGGCTCGAACGTTTTGTGACCCACTTATTATGGAAATACAATCATCACCTTCGATACACAAAGTTGAAAATTTTTAAAACGTTTAACTATATCCGTGGTTTTTTTCATTTTTCACACATTGTGGTTCCTACCTGTCCCAATATCACTATTGCTTATGACAATATTTTGTGTATCTGCTACATGAATTCCATCAGTGTTGGGGCTGTCCCCGGGTGCTCTGATGACGATATTTGATGCAATAACATTGAAGCATCTCTCAAAGGTTACGTGCATTTGTTGTGCATCTTTGAACATCAAGTTTGTCACTTTCAAATTTTTGCATTGATAGAAAGTCACAGCCTATGCAATAAAAGATTTCCATGAAAATGTAAAAAGTTAGGAATTGCATTTCCTTGTAAAACTTTATGGTATGAAGAATATTATCTTACCTTTGGTCTTGGTTCGTCGTTGCATGGCTGTGAATCAGCTCAAGGAGAGGAAAGAAATGAATGTCAGTATTCATCTTTACAAGAACAGAGAAGTATAAATGAAAATTATTCGACTAGAGACAAGTTCAATGACTCACAAGGTTAGTGGTTGCTTTGCAGGAGTTTTGCCACCACATTTTCCCTTTGCCATCGAATGTGCCACCACCACCAACTCTGAAATTTGAAACACTATCAAACATAATCCAGTGTTGTCTATCTTCTTGGTATGCCGACATTTGAGTCCATGCTTCGATTGTGCCATAGAGCTTACATGTTGAATTAAGAAAATACAAAAACTATGTTAATTTCTAACTATAAATAGTTGTTGAAGAACATGGATCATATCTCACCATAAAGGCAGTGTTGGGTCGACATGGACCAGAAAATGTTATTGGTTTAAGACGATAGATCCTATTTTCGGGTACCACAAGCATAGCCCCTCTTGAACATGCTTCACTCCATGCCTTTCCAAATGCCTAAAGAGCAAGAAGAAAAGTTAACAGAAGAGTGAAAGAGATTGAGAATGAACTAAATTTACACATTAAAATGTTTTCTCTTTTTATTGATAACATGATATGTTACCTCGGTATTATCTCCTCCATCTGCTTTGGCTCCAAAGTCATCAACATTAACTGTACCACGAGGACTAGTAGAATGGGGGGTAACCCTATTAGCCCTTGTTATAAGACCAAAATGTTCATGTTTTGTCTTGCTCAATCTGCCATGCACAGGGTAGTGTTTATAATTTGTTTTATAACGTGGCTCCTCTATGTAATAGCCATTACATAAGACTAATGAAGAGAGGACAACGAAAAGTGAGATAGTTGGTGTTTGTGGAAACATTTTGAGTTTCAATTTGTGCTGTGAGAAAAGAACAAACTGAAAGAAGATAGAGAGATTTTTGGTGAGTGCCAAATGAGGGACTAATGCTGTATACTTATAGACAAATTAGACCTACTTATCTTGAGTTAGATGCAAGGTGCACAGATTAATTAGAGACTGTTTTTCATTAATTATGGATGAATGGATAATGCACTATATATATTGACTGCAACGAGATATTTATAAAATGATATTACCTAAAGGTTTATTTTCCGTCTTTTATACAAAGAACCATTTTTTGCTTCTCAATATTCATATATAATATTGATATTATATCTGTGTATACATGTGTGAGATTGATAATTTACAGAGAATTTGTAATCAGAATCATTTAGTTAATTGACCTTATTTTCCCATAATGCAGCACACGCATGCAGTCTCTTCTCCAATGTACAGAACATATGGAACTGGTAACTGTCAACTCAGAGTAAGTTGAATGCTTCCCCTTATAAGGAACAATGACCTCTTAATCCAATTTTTATTCAGGTCTTTAACTTTTTATACTTGTAATCTCTCTCTGTATCATAAAATAGTAATATTCTTGACCAAATATAAAGCAATACTGAATAATTTGAAGCAGATGAGTTTCTGAAAAGGGAAGAAAAAGTGTTATTGTGGCAATATATGAGTGAAAATTTGCCATAATGTGTTGTGAAAATAGAAAACCGAATCATACGTAGTTATGGGGCACTGGGTTACTTCCCACCAAATAACAGATACACAAATGCATGAGATGAATCAATCTACCACACACCAAGCCCATAATCTGAACAAATACATAACCACTATATGGTAAATTGAATTAAGTAATAATAACTTGTAAGGTTTTGTTTCTTACATCTTGCACCTGCCCTTCTTGTTAGTTCATGAGTTAGGTTGGTTTGGTTCCAAATTTGGTATGCCCCATAACATAATAAATAAATAATGCAGAAGTTTAATCTGAAACATTTATACCTGCAATAGAAACAGGGAAAACATGAACAAGGATTTAGATGAAAAGATATGAATAAAGTTTGTAATAAAAGTCATGCTTGTTCGTTGGTGGGTATATGAGTAAGGTATATGGCACAATCTGTTGCGGAAAAACCGAAGAAAATGTTGACAAAGGAAGTATTGGGTATATAAGAATATTTGTTTGGCTTTGGATAGTTTGACTTGGATAAGAAAAGATACGTATTTCAAGTTTTAATAGTAACCTACTAAACTGATTAGTGGCGCACCATGAGGATATTATCTTACACCAAATCATGTAATAGTAGATTAAGAATAAAAAAATTAAAACTATAAGTTAACTTTTTATAATTATCTTTAGTCTCTATTTGAAAATCCCTGCGAAAGGGGAGAAATTACCTGAAATGCATAAAAGGAAAAACATTTTATAAAGATTAGAAATAGTAATGATAGTCTGGGTTATGATTAATAATAGGCTTATCTACCGGTCACTCTATCTTGTGGATAAAAGTGGATGAGATATACTGAACAATTTTAAAAAATATTTATATATTAAAATTAAAATAATAAAATTATAATTAAAAATATTATATTTTTTAGTATATATAAATATATTATAATATTATAATTTAAATTATAAATATTAATTAATTAAATTTAAATTATTGATTATAATTAAATATTTTAATAAATAAATATAGTAATTTTTAATTTATATAATAAAAAATTAATTAATAAAAATTTAAAAATTATTTATATAATTAAAGGTATATTTTTAAAAAATAATATAAGAAAATTTTATATGAGTTGGTCCATCAATAATTTTTTGATGGGGTAAGTCAGATCTTTAATCCATACTAAATGTGATAAAAATCAGTTCATCTCATCTTATTTTTAAGATTAATAGTATGACAAATCAAAATAAAACCTGTATTTTATTAGAAAATATTATTTATATTATATATTAAAAACCCCTCCTATTATTAGAAAAAAATTATATTCAAGTTAAATTTAGATTAAAATATGTTATTAAATTTATCAAGTTGAATTTCTTTTATCTTTTTGTTATTATAGAAGGAACTTTGTTTACAATGTTTGCATTGGTTGCTTCAGCAGCTATGCCATTTGTTTGACCTGTAAAATTTCTGTTTTGGCCCATAAGTTAAAGAGTTAGAATTTTCTAAAAGAAAATGGACTTGCAGGCACCATCTTCATTCTTCTATATCAAAAAGTGGACACTTACTTTTTTCTCTCTCTCTCTCTCTTTTTTTTTTTTTTTTTTTCTTTCTTCTTCATTTCTTCTTACACTCCCATTATTAAATTAAATATTTTATCCTTATATTCATCTTTCATTTTTATAATTTCAGATTACATATTTTGGAAGTAAAATGTATTTTAAAAAAATCAATTCTAAAAATATATTCTAAAACTTATTTTTCAAAATATATTTTTGGAAATTTCTTTTTAGAATATACTTCTGAATTGATTTTTCCATAAATGTATTTTATAATGAGTATTTTAAAATATATTTTTAAAAAAATCAATCCAAAAATGTAGGTCAGAGTAGGTGTTTTGATATACAATTTCAAAAAAATTAATATAAAAATGTATTCTAAATTTTTTATCTATAATTCTAAATTTTGTTTAGAATGTATTTTCGGATTAACTTTTCAAAAAATATGTTTAATAATTTCTAATTTTTTAGATTGATTTTTTTAAAAATTAGTATGAAATGAATATTGGAGAATAAGTTTCCTGAAAAGATAATATGTAAATATATTCTAAACTGAGTGATGTGTAACTCAATTTGATTTTCGTAAGACTGTTTCGAATAAAATAATATGGGTTTTATTATGGAATTTCATTACATGGGAATGAATGATTTTGAAGAAAGTGATAAAAGAAAAAACCATACATGCATATTTATGAAGGTGTAGAAGATAAGCCATGAATGCGCAGGAAAATAGAAAAAAAGTTAAAGTATGAAACAAAAATTATTGAAAGGGAAGAAACTACAGAGACGAGGTGCAGGATGAAAGTGCCCCTGACTAATAATATATTAGGCCGAACCCATTGTGTGATTATTATACAATTAAGCAACCTTTTTTCTTTCTCCATCTCATTTTCCCAGAGTTTTGGAATAATCTAACAACACCTTTTGATTTACTTTCTTGAACACATTTTAGTTAAACAAAGAGTAAACTTGAGATATTTAATCAGACTTGTATAATAGTTATCATTAAAATATTCTAACAAATTTAAAATTCACACAACACCCCTTTTAACACATTATTTATCACATTCTTCATCATCATTATTATTATTAACAACCAATAATGATAAAGATTGTGTTTAATAGAATGAATTGGAAAAAAATCCCTAATAAAATTAAGGCTACTTCATAAGGTATTATATATATATATATATATATATATATATATATATATATATATATATATATATATATATATATACACACACACTCAGTATATACCTTCTCAAACTTCCATGCTGAAACTGAAAAAAGAGGAATTCTTTCCCAGCAAATAAACAAGCATTTGTTCTTGTGATGGACGTGGTATCCTGGTACATAGGTTTCCAAAAACTTTGTTGCCAACCAAATTCCATTGGAGCTGAGAGGTACCCTTCCAAATCCAGCCAATTCAAGCCTTGGGATCCATGTTTCAATTTTCTCATGCCTCTCCTTTCTCTCAACCCCTTCACATGCAACAATGTTCTTTATCTCTTCACCAAGTAGCATCTTCTCCAATAGGCTTCTCCATACCAATGTTCTGGAAGTGGAGGCTTCCAAGCAATCAAACAGTGCACTGTAAAATTTCAAAGCTTTGTACACCCTCTCTGTTAAACTGGGTCCATTAACATCTGACTCTTGCTCAGTTATCACCATCACTTTGGGTTGGAGCTTCCACAAACCATTCAGAAAACACTCCATCTTATGTGATGGACATGGAGAAAAAGGTGAGAGTGCTGAGTCAGGACTTGGATTCACCTTCTTATTCTTCTGTTTGGCAAGCATCTTTGCAAAAGCACTTTGACCCCTCATTTTGACCAAATCATCATCATTGGCAGCCAGAAGAGAGTGAAGCTGAAGCACGCAGCTAATTGCAAGAGGCTCACCTTTCTTGATAGGCAATGTTTCAGGGTCAAGGGTCTCCAAACTGCTCACAACAGGATTGAATTGGAAATGGAAATGCAACCTGTCAGCTTCAACTTTCAGTTGCAACCCCATTTGTTCTAACACTTCCTTCTTCTCATGTATGGCTGTAACAGTAATGTTCAGGTATGGTGTGTTTGTCAAACGCTCTTTCAAACCCTGCATGAGATTAGTCCACTGATCAGTATTAGATGGACTGAGATCAAGCACATGAATCACTGTTTCCCCTTGCATGGCTTCAATAATGGTCTGATTTGTGATCGTGTGTGCGGTTTTTAGGAAGGGGTAGAATTTAAAGAATAGCTGCTTGACAAATTGTTGTTCAGGAGTTGATAACAAGTTCACCAAACCAAGAACTTTAGGTACACCACGCAAATTTTTGCCCACTTGGCAACATGCTAGTGCCTCAGTGAAATAAGTGGCAACGCGTTGCATTGAATCACCATGAGGGGAAGCAAGGAGAGAGAGATGATACAGTGCAATATCTGCACCAGTGAAGTTTCCTGATTCAGTACAAGTGGCACACTCGTAAAGAAGATTGATTAGGCGTAAACCCTCATCATCCCAGTTCCTCACTTTCGGTCCCTGCACGTGGTACTGTGAACCTAACACAAGAAGAAATACAGTAAATTATTTTACATTAAGAGTTAAGCAAAACACCCTTAATTGGTATCTGAAGCAAACAAGTAAAATTTCTTATGAAGAATTCCTTAGAAAGTTTTTAGTTAATCAGAAAAACTATACTGTATTTAACTGTAGTAATCGGGTGTTACCTGGGTCCATAACTAGGAGACTAACTCACCATGCATATGCACCCAGCAACCTTGAGCCATTCTTAGAGTTTTGGTTTAGACTAATGATCCTAAGACGTCTCATAAAGATTCTAATGTTGAGTTTTATAGTGATGAATAAACTAAAGTTAAAAGTAGCTCTTTGTCATGATCGGTTTCTGCATTCATGTAGAGACAATGAAAGAAATTGATTTTGTCAACATATTGGTTTGTAATTTGTACACATCTCTGCCTGCCACCTTAGATTCTGAGATTTCAAACCAGAATTTATTATTTTACTCTTTTCACAAAAAATGTGTCATTATTATTACTGGCCAAAGTGAGTATCTTGATTCCATTCAGCAACAATTCATCAATGTATGTACAAAACATACGAACCATGTGCAGAACGGTGCACTCAGACACAAAAGCAACAGAATTTGCAAACAAGGATTTTGTCTCACTCCTCCATCTGAGAAGAAAGAAAATGTCACCACAAAACAAAAGGGAAAGATATATTATTTATTCTAATCCCATCACTTTTTTTATATGCTTTCACCAAATGACACTCTATTATGCAGAAAGGATATACTTCGGTTGTGTAAGAAAGAAGCATAGGTTTCATAATGGATTGTCAACTTTTCATAGTGGTGTGTGACTAATTTTACTTTGGGGAAGCTTCATCTGCAACATTCCAATCTTTCTTTATGGCAAAATGACACTCAAAGAAGTAATTTTTTTTAATGATACTTTTTCCTGAACTGCAATTGGACCAAGCAATGCCAAAGTGTGGGAGATTCCGAGGTTAGAAGATTGTTACAGAAAGTTATTATACTCAGAAATCAAAAGCATGAAGAAACCTGCACGAGAGATTGGAAATTCCTTTTTAAAGCATTACCAAACAGACAAGGTCAACATTTGAAAAGAGACTATGCACATTTATATATATCTTTGGATAAACCTAGAAACCAAATTTCTATAGGAAATAGTGTTGGCAACAAGTAGGCAGAAAATAAAAGTTGACACCACTCTTTTTTTTTTTAATCTCTTAATGTTTTTCCTACTATAATTTCAAATAAATTGTTACAAATATTTATGGACATAATGTTTGTCTCTTCAAATGCTAAAAGTAAATCATGATACCTATTAAATATAGTCCATATTTCTTGGTTATGTCACTCGTACATAAAACTATTAATACTATTCTAGGAATACCAAATGACTAATTTAAGTTTTACAACAAATCTCCCCCTTACACTTAAATACTCTTCTCATCTCTTATTTCAATCATACTTTTACAACTCTCCAGTTGTGTGGTCGACAGTGGCTTGATAAATATGTACACGGCTTGAGCTCGGCTTTCAATATGCTCCAGCTCGACCTTTCCTTCTCTAACTTGTTCTCGGATGAAATGAAATCGGATTTCGATGTGCTTGCTCTTTTCGTGATTAACCGGGTTCTTTGCCAACTCGATCGTTGACTTGTTACCAACTCGAATTACAATCTCTTCGTATCGGACCACTCCTAGATGCCCTAGTAGATTTGAAAGCTAGACTGCATGACACACGCTCCAGGAGGCCGCCCCATACTCGGCTCGCAGGTCGACAAAGTTACAATAAGCTGCTTCTTTTTGTAAACCCATTTTACTCTAATGGGTCGGGCTACTTCAGGAAGGTCGGTCAGCTCCCAAGTTTTATTGCGTTCAATCGCTCCAATTTCCTCATCCATGGTTGTTCTTCACTTCTTATCTTAGACAACTTTCTCAAAACTCAAGTCTTCAGAGTCAGTCATAAGACATACAACATAAACTTCATTTTGTAGTATCGTATATCTCCTACAGACTTCTCATCCTGGGCTGTTGTGCTCTATTTCTTCATCTGAGGACTCGGTGGTTGTTGTTGTTGAAGGCACAACAATTTCTAAGCTAGTTTCTTCTTCAGCCGGGTTACTCCAGCATCATTGCTTTGTTTCTTTCACGTGAACATCTCGGCTTACTACCACTTTATTGTTGATAGGATCAAACAATTTATATGCTTTAGATTTTTCATATCCGATAAATATGTACTTCTTGCTCCAACCTTCTAATTTTGTCTTGTGCTGACTTGGTACGTGCCCATAGGCCACACTATCGAATACCTTCAAATGAGAGACACTCGGCTTCATACCACTTCAGATCTCCTGAGGTGTCTTCTCGCCTAGCTTTGCATGTGGACATCTATTTTGCATATAGATTGTGCATTGCACCGCCTCTGCCCAAAACTTCTTCGACATATTCTTCCCTTTCAACATATATCGAACCATATCGAGAATGGTTCGGTTCTTTCGTTCCACTACACCATTTTGCTGCAGAGAATATGGGGCATTCAAGAAACGCTTGATCTCATGTTTCTCGCAGTATTTGTTAAACTCAGCAGAAGTAAACTCGCCTCCTCTGTCAGATCGAACTGCTTTGATGACTATGTTTGTTTCTTTCTCCACCATCACTTTGAGTTTCTTGAAAGTTTCAAACACTTCTGACTTCTCTTTCAGAAAATAAACTCACGTTTTTCTCGAGAAATCATTAATAAAAGAGACGAAATATCTCTTACCACTAAGATTCTGGAGTTATTGACCCACACAAATTGCTATGGATCAATTCGAGTTGCTCCTTTGCTCGATACTTAGAACTCCTTGGGAAAGAAGTCCTTGTTTGCTTCCCGATCACACATTCTTCACAGAACCTCTTTTCGAATTTCATTTTAGGCAGTCTGAGCACCATCTCCTTTTTCACCAGCTCAATCAACCCATCGAAGTGAAGATGACCGAACCGAAAATGCCACTTCATAGCCTCATCCTCCACATCAAGTTGCATGCATTTATCTTGAACTATTTTCAGCTCAAGTTTGTACATGCGATTTTTCTTCATTTCTACCAGAGCAATAAGCCTCACGAGTTTATCCTTAAGTTGTAGTTCTCAATCCTTCATCAGAACTGAGTACCCCTTCTCCACTAACTGTCCCATGCTCAATATGTTACTTTTGAGATAAGGTACGTAGTATACATCTCTAATCTCTCCAATTCGCCCATTTCTCTGTTGATACCAGATCGTTCATCGACCTTTGACAACTACTTTCGAAGCATCGTCGAAAGAAACAGATCCGGATTCCACCTTTGAAAGTATTTTAAATAAGCGCTCGTCACCACACATGTGGTTACTTGCGCCGGTGTCCAAGTACCAAACTGAGTTATTAGAACAACTCAGTTTGACCTCAGTTTCTGGAATGTGTCACCATCATCAATCCTTCATCTTCTTCCTCGGCAAGAAAATTTGTTGGTTCCTCCTTTTTCTTCTCGCACCAACAATCTTTGGAAATATGACCTAGTTTTCCACAGTTGTAACATTTTACTGAATAACAATCCTTGGCAACATGCCCATACTTTCCACAGTTATGACATTCAATATTGTTTGTATTTGTCCGGCCACCTCGAGTCTGACCTTGGCTACGCCAGTTCTGTTGGTCGACTTGCTCATTTCCTCGTCCTCCTCTTCCTCTACCACCTTGGTCTCTGCCTCTGGTACTCTGAGCATAGAGCATCTTCTCCTCTTTTATTGTCGTCCTCGCCTGGAGAGCATGTTCAAGGGACTCCCCCTTCCTATTTCTCCTTCTCTACTCATGTGCTTCTAGAGACCTAGCAAACTCTTCAAGGGTGAGCGTTGATAGATCCTTGGACTCCTATATTGCGCACACGATGTTCTCGAAATCATCTGTCAATGACCTCAAAATCTTTTAAACAACCCGGTTTGATGAAAGACTCTCACAATTCTTATTCAACTTATTCACTACGGTCTCCACCCGAGTATTGAACTCGGATACGCTTTCAGACTCTTTCATCTTCATGTTTTCTAGCTCGCCCCTAAGGGTTTGAAGTCGAACTTGCTTCACCTGTTCATCTCTTTTGTTTACTTTTTCGAGTATATCTCATGCTACTTTGGAAGATTTTACGTTGACTATCTTCTCAAAGCCAGATTCGTCGACAACTCGGTATAACAGATACAAAGTTGCCTTGTCTTTAGCTCGAACAACCTTCAACCCCCTTCAGCTGGGCATTTGAATACACATCTGTGTTTGTTGGTTCCTCATACCCAGTCTCGACCACATCCCAGTTATCTTGGGAGCCAAGAAGGGTATTCATTTTTACCTTTTAATTGTCATAGTTGACCCCTTTCGTCAACTTGGGTAGCAGGATGTCATTGGTTAGACCTGTCATTTCTCTCAAGTGTTTGCACTCAACTCACAAAGCTCTCGGTTGCTCCTCTCTCTTTCTTAGCCAGCGCACACTGCAACGTTCTCTCTTTAGGCTTGGTAGGTTCTCTCACGCTCACCTAACACACAAACTCTGATGCCAATTTGTTGGCAACAAGTAGACAGAAAGTAAAACTTGACAGCATTCTATTTTCTTTTAATCTCTCAATGTTTCTTGTGCTACAATTTCAAATGAGTTGTTACAAGTATTTATGGGCAAAATATTTGCTTCTTCAAATGCCAAAAATAAATAATGATACCTATTAAATACAATCCATATTTCTTGATTATGTCACTCATGCCTAAAATCATTAATACTATTATAGGAATATCAAACGACTAATTTAAGTTTTACAACAAATAAAAAAAAAAGATTGTGGACATGAACATGTGAAAGATATTTAATCCAAGAATAAAATGCCAACAGCCATAGAAGAAATGTAGGATCAGATTTTCATATTTCCATTTTTGATTTCCCTGGCAGCTGCAACATGGCCTAATATTAACGTTGAAGTAAAAAATATTTTGATGGCACAATTTAAATTATATATTAAAAGGAACAATAAATTTTAAGTTACCATCATATATAATATTAGGTTAACAAATTAATTTTGGTATGATTAAAAATTTTTAAAAAAATGTATCAAAATAATTAATTAAAAATATTTAAATAAAAAAATATTTTTAAAATTTAAATTATATTAATAAAATTAGTTTTTGTTTAAGATATACTAATTTAATATATAAATTATAAGATAATATATCCATTTAATATTAAAATAAAAGTTAAAATATATTTTTTATCATTATTTTTTTATAATTTATTGATCTAAATAATAATTAATCTTAATAATTAGGTATAAAAATTTATTTTAATATTTATTCTTAGAATAATTGAATTTCTTTACAAATTAATTTATAATATATATATATATATATATATATTTAATAAAATAATATTAATTTTTTATTTAAAAATAATTTTTATTTTATATAATAGTGAACACATCAACTCAGAAATTATGACCTAAGTTAATTGAGTCAAAATAAATTTGATTTTTAATGAAATATTTTATTTAACTTAATGTATCTTTTGGATCTTTCTAATTATTCTTTCATACTAACTCTACTTTCATACCTAACTCATATTTAATGTTAATAATTTACATTTTTATTCAAGAATTCATTAAACCTTCAGAAAAATAAATTATAAAGAAGTTACCCATTTGAAAAGTGCATCGGGTAATTATTAAAATTAGAACCGTTGATTATAAAAAATGAAGACTTTTCATCTACAAACCAATCAATAAATTGTATATCATGAAAAAGTCTTTCATTCATAAAAACAAATTAAGTAAGTAAATTTTCAAAATGATATTTCACAATTGCAATATTAAAGACCTCTTAATGTCCACTAAATAGCAATAAAAAAAAATATTTAAAAACGTGTCCTTTAAGAATAGTAGTTCACGATGCAAAGTCAAAATTTAGTTATAAAAAAAACATATAAATATTATTTTTATTATTTTACAAAATTAAAAAAAGAAATCAATGAAAATAAATTACATTTGACTTATTTTTACCTACTAGATATTTATATGAAAGCGTTACAATTCATAAATATAAAAGATGAAGGCATGAATTCAAATGTTAAGCAATAAAGAATGTATAGAAATAAAGAAAACCCAATTTATCATTTTTTTAAAATTAAAAATAAATTTTGAAAATTATTTTAATAAAATAATTATTATACAAGGTTTTAAAATTTTAAATAAAAAGTATTTTTAAAACAATAAATCAATGAATCCTTGATTCCAAGTAGTATTTAACATGAAAGACAAACCAAAATTATTTTACACCAAACGACTCCAAAACTAAACACCACATCGCAACAGCAGAGTATGTGTATGATATCATGATTCATGTAAACAAACACTACTTACCATCACAATTGATTAATATGGAAAATTATTTGATATAGAATCCATAAAATTATATCTTTCGTAAAAGAAACAACCATGTTCTATTGATTTCTAATTAATTAGTAATTCAACTAATTGGACCTCGATTTTTTTTTTCTTCCATAACTGCTTATTTTCCCTATAAGATTTTCTTTATAAAAGCAACCATTTCTCACTCTGCTCCCAAAACTGTTTAGTGACAACAATTATACTAAGATAGAAGAAATTTGGTTGAACATGGAAAAACCCAACAAATTTTCCATAGAATCTTGTAATTGGGTTCTCAATTATGTATCAATTTTGCTGATTTTTTTCCTTAGCCTTAGTTCTTCAACATCTCAAACTCTCACTCCATCACATTTGGACCATGTGGTTTCTGCCACCAAAGTCCTGCACAACAATTTCACTGCCATATCAGACTTCAGAATGATAAACAGAAAATTTTTGAATGATTGCTCTGCTTCAAACCCCTTTATCAATGTTAATGTCACCTCCAATTCTACCCTATCAGATGATGGGTTCGTGACAGTCACAGTCACTGGTGTTTCCAATCCTTCAAATGATGATTGGGTTGCCATGATCTCACCTTCGATTTCTGAGTAAGAATTGAGTCACATCACATGTGACTAATGTAGATAATGACTCCATGATTGTTACTAATTCTTGTTTACATTTAATTCCTGTAATAACAAGTTCTTTTGTTTCATTGCATTACATTGCATAAGCACAGTGTTGAATCTTGTGTTCAAAAGGAGATTCTCTATCTGCAAACTGGTGACTTAGCCAAACTTCCTCTGCTTTGCCATTACCCTGTCAAGGTACAGCATTGTACTTTTCTTCATTTGTTTTACTTTCAATTTGTCTCAATGCTTTACATTTATTACAACCATTTTCTTTTATCACAAGTCATTAATTTATTTACTAACAGTTTTGACCATAGGAGAATATCTTTGAAATAAAATCTCTTTTGAAATGCTAATGTATTCTTCATTTTTCTTATTTAGTAAAATAAAACAAATACAGTTTACTATCTTCAAATATTCATTTAAAGTGACAAGTAAAACAAATATATTTTACTACCATTGCCTTAGGATGTTATTATTTGCCATTTAAATTTTATGGAAACAATAATGAACTCACATTTAGATATAATAAATGTTAACGACAACGCAGGCACAATACATGAGCACTGATCCAAATTACCTCAGCTGCAAAAACATCGAATGCAAGAAATATGAAAATGGGAAATGCGTTATCACAACTTGCAGTGGTTCAATACAGTTTCATCTGATCAATATTAGAAGTGACATTGAATTCATGTTCTTCTTGTTAGTAAAACAGAGAAATCAATACAGTTGTGCCGTGGAAGAACCACTGCCCTGAAAGCGAAATTCCGGCACGGCCAAGGTGCAACCGATTGACACCGTTCGCTCCCCAAGGTTAACACAACACCTCACTACCCTCGTGCACTCGTGGGAGGAGTTGGAATTGTAGACTCTCGTTGTCCGGAAAATAAAGATGATAAGAAAAGTTTTTTTTTTCTTTCTCTATGTGAAAAAACCCAATCCTATTTTTTATATCTCTTTATTAAAATATATTTTCATATATATATATATATATATATATATATATATATATATATATATAAAACTACTTTTCCTGTTTTCTATCTTTTAGGCATGATAATATATTTATAAAACCGTTTTCAGAAACTAACAAAGAAATATTTGAATAATGAAAACTGACCACTAAAAAAGTGTTCCCTTCAGTTTCGGAAAGACTTGCTTGAGAATAGCTAATATAGTCATATTCCCAACAATCCCCCACAAATGACTATATGTTTAAAAATACATTTCTGGCAGCGAGAAGGAACTAAGTTACTTAAACATTAATCTCTTTCGATTGAATTAATGTATAGTGAAATGAGGTAAATACATAGCTAATGAAAGTGAAATAGTTCTTGAACTTTCAAAGGCATAGGTTGAGACCCCCATGACACATATTAATTCCTTAAAGTCTGTTATTCCGCGATACAATAAAAGCGCTTTTAAAGGTCCTGCGCATATACCTTGGTTCCATGAGTGCTCTAGAAAGCAAATTTTTTTATTCTTTAATTGAAGGCGGCCCACCTTCACACTCATCTAAACAATAACTTTATCAAGTCTATCACCACAGTAGACTACTCAACAAATAGAGTTATAAAGTCATTAAGTCCTTTAAACTTATATCACAATCATCCATCAAGTCCTATTCAGGACCACTCAACACATAGAGCTATGGATTTAAGCACTACCAATAAGTACAGGGATGGACTGTAGTGCATCACAATATTTTCAAGTCAAAGGCTTAAGTCCCATCCCTTGAGAAGTCTCTTGAATGACTCTCCTACTCAATCCTTTTGTTAAAGGATCTGCTAGGTTTCTTTCTGATCTCACAAACTCTAGACATATTACTCCATTCTTCAAAAGTTGTTTAACTGCACCATGTCTTATCCGAATATGCCTTCTTTTGCCATTATACACATAATTTTTGGCAACTCCAATAGCAACTTGTGAATCACAATGCAATGAGACTGGTACAAAAGACCCCCACAATGGAATATCACCTAACAAGTTTTTTAGCCATTCTGCTTCTTGACCTGCTAGCTCAAGAGCAATGAATTCGGATTCCATGGTGGACCGAGCAATACAGGTCTGTTTGGAAGATTTACATGAAACAACTCCTCCTCCTAAAGTGAACACATATCCACTAGTAGAACTCACCTCATTATTATCTGTCACCCAGTTTGCATCATAATAACCTTCTAAAACAGTAGGAAACTTGTTAAAATGCAAACATAAATTCATAGTTCCCTTAAGGTATTTTAACAATCGATAAAGTGCATTCCAATGTTCATTATTAGGATTATGAGTGTATCTACTTAGTCTACTTACAGCATAAGTAATATCAGGTCTTGTATAGTTCATGAGATACATAACACTTCCTATAACTTTAGCATATTCAGCTTGTGAAACACTATCACCATTGTTCTTTTTAAGACTCATGCTAGGGTCATAAGGAGTTCTTACCGACATTGTATCAAAGCAATCAAACTTCTTAAGTATCTTTTCAATGTAGTGTGATTGACATAATGAAAAGCCAAATTCAGTTTTCCTTATTTTGACACCAAGAATAACATCTGCCTCACCTAAATCTGTCATCTCAAAGTGAGCAGTCAAAAACATCTTGGTTTCATTTATTACTTCCAAGTTAGAGCCGAAAATGGGCATGTCATCAACATATAAACATATAATCACACAATTAGAACCAAACAATTTAGAGTAAACACATGAATCAGAGACATTCACAACATACCCATTGGTTACTAAAGTACGATCAAATTTTTCGTACCATTGTTTGGGTGCCTGTTTGAGGCCATAGAGAGATTTTTTAAGCTTGCATACCTTGTCCTCTTGTCCAGCAACTACAAATCCCTCTGGTTGCTCCATGTAAATTTCTTCCTCCAGGTCTCCATTAAGAAAAGCAAGCACCATAGCAGTGGATGAATTCCCCATGAAGACATGTTCACCATCTACTGCATCACAAAATTCCTAGAAAAGAGCCTTGTTGGAGCAAAAATGTGTGGTAGCACCAGTGTCTAACAGCCAGTCGACCTTGTTTTCCAACAGGTTTGCTTCTACCACCACAGCAACAATTATATCTTCCTTTTCAGCAACATTGACTTGTGGAGCATAGTTATTGGGCTTACTGGTAAGTTTCTTATCCTTCCTATTCCAGCACTGGTATCCCTTGTGGCCTGGTTTTCCACATTCAAAACAGGTTATCATTTTGCCTTTGTGATTCTTTCCGTTATCACCTTTGGGATATTTTTGGTATCCGCTATTTTTGAATTTCTTTCCTTTGGCTTTGTACCTGTCTTTATAGGCAACAGAAGATTCAACCAAGTTAGCTTTAACAGAAATAGAAGAAAAAGAGTTTTCCTTATCTTTCAGACGATTAGCCTCCTCAGTTTTCATGTGACTTATCAACTCCTGTAAAGGCAAGTCCTTCTTTTTGTGTTTCAAATGGTTCCTGTAATCACTCCATGAAGGTGGAAATTTTTCCAGCAAAACATTAGCCTGCAGAACATCACACATTTTCATGCCTTCTCTCAGCACATCTGCAACCAAGTTCTCATACTCATGAATCTGCTCCATGATAGGCTTGTCATCTACCATCTGGAACTCCATCCATTTTCCCACCACGTATTTTTTCCTGCCAGCATCATCAGCACCGTACCTTGATTCCAAGTTATCCCATATTTCCTTTGCATATTTCTGTTCAACAAAAATATCAAAGAGAGCATTTGTCATGTGATTGAGAAGATGACCTCTGACAGCTTTATTATCCTTCACGTATTTTGCCTTTGATTCCTTATCATCTTTTTTCGTTTTTTCCGTTGAAGGCGTGACAGCTGGAGTAGCAGGAACAACAAGTTGATCATCGGGAACAAGAGTGAATAAAACATAATCGACCTCAAGCTGTTCGAAGAAGATTAAAAGTTTCTGCGACCAACGTTTGTAGTTGAGTCCATCTAAAGGTTCAAGTTTGGAGAGATCGGGCAGCGACTTGAGAACGGAAGTAGAAGCAATAGCCATCGTTGACGAACTTTGAAAATGAATAGGGTTTCGCTTTCAGATTGTTAGTAAAACAGAGAAATCAATACAGTTGTGCCGTAGAAGAACCACTGCCCTGAAAACGAAATTCCGGCACGGCCAAGATGCAACCGATTGACACCGTTCGCTCCCCAAGGTTAACACAATACCTCACTACCCTCGTGCACTCGTGGGAGGAGTTGGAATTGTAGACTCTCTTGTCCAGAAAATAAAGATGATAAGAAAAGTTTTTTTTTACTTTCTCTATGTGAAAAAACCCAATCCTATTTTTTATATCTCTTTATTAAAATATATTTTCATATATATATATATATATATATATATATAACTACTTTTCCTGTTTTCTATCTTTTAGGCATGATAATATATTTATAAACCGTTTTCAGAAACTAACAAAGAAATATTTGAATAATGAAAACTGACCACTAAAAAAGTGTTCCCTCCATTTTTGGAAAGACTTGCTTGAGAATAGTTAATATAGTCATATTCCCAATACTTCTCTGATGGATTCCTAAGACCCTGCCTTGTGGGGAAGGTCCACGCCTCTGAGTTTTTCCAATCCCAAGAGGCCACTCTATGGACATCTCTCAAGCATAGATTCATCTGGAACTTCTGTAAGTACCAAACTCCTTTTTCTGCTTCAAATATTCTCTATTCATTTTTTCTCAGATGTGATTTGGTGCTGCAGATGAGATTGACATGGGTTAGTGGAGATAAAGAGCCTCAGCAAATCCAATATGCAAATGGAAAATCAGTTAATTCAACAGTCACCACATTTTCACAAGCTGATATGTGCAGTGAGTGATAACTGTACTTTAGTTTTGCTTGTTAATATGTATATTTTATATATGCTTCTTAATTTGGTTTGATTTGAAGCGCCACCACCATAAATTGAGTGAAATAGTATATTTTTTTACATGATTTTTTATAAGGAATATTGTTCGTTTTCATTTGAAATTAATAGGTTCACTGCTGCCTAGTCCTGCTAAGGATTTCGGATGGCATGATCCAGGCTACATCCATTCTGCTGTTATGACTGGCCTTATCCCTTTGAGCACCTTCTCCTACAGATATGGAAGGTATGAACTTTATGGGATAAATTGGGGTTGTGGTTTGAGAAAGTCTATATTCTGCTTTTGAGATTCATTAAATAAGTTGATTTTCCTTCTGCTTCCGGTCCAGTGACTCCGTTGGTTGGAGTAAACAAATCATGTTTTCAACTCCACCAGTTGGAGGATCAGATGAGCTCAGATTCATTGCCTTTGGTGATATGGGCAAGACTCCTCTAGATGCTTCAGAAGAACACTACATTCAGGTAAATTACCGATACAAATATATTAGCATTTAGATTTTAGATGCATATTGAGATAGGCCACGCTAGGATTGGCCTAGTGGTGAAAGGTTTAGGTATTATGAAGTGATCAGCTCTTGTCTTGTTTTTCAAACAGCCAGGAGCACTTTCTGTGATTAAAGCCATTGCCAATGATGTAAACTCCAACAAAATAAATTCAGTCTTTCACATCGGAGATATAAGCTATGCAACAGGTTTTCTAGCGGAATGGGATTTCTTTCTTCACCTTATCAACCCAGTAGCTTCCAGGATTTCTTATATGACAGCAATAGGGAACCATGAGAGGTATGACATTCACATTAATGATAACTTTGTCTAACATTTCTCCTCAAATATCTACATTACTCGAAGAGTTTTGACAAAAGTTACCATAAATATACTTAATTTCCTGTAAAATTATTGACTACTCAATATTCAAAATTTAATGCACGTTATTAATTTGTTTATATACACCTAACTGAATAACAAGCATTGTAGATTTGATGGCAAATAGAAAAAGAAAAAGCTATGGTATCATTTCTGAATTTCTTTTGTATACTCAGGGATTATGTAAATTCAGGTTCAATATATATTACTCCTGACTCTGGTGGGGAATGTGGAGTACCTTATGAAAAATACTTTCCAATGCCAACTTCAGCAAAAGATAAGCCTTGGTACTCTATTGAGCAAGGAAGTATTCATTTCACGGTAATATCTACTGAGCATGACTGGTCAGAGAATTCTGAGCAGGTAAACTGAGGAAAGCCATTATTCCGTTTCTTGTATTTACAGTTTAATTGAATAGTTACATAGTATGTGTAACTTTCCTTGTTACAGTATGAGTGGATGCAAAAGGACATGGCATCAGTTAATCGACAGAAAACTCCTTGGCTGATCTTCACTGGGTAAGTTGTGCACATTATTAAATAATTGGTTTTTCCAGATTCAAGGCATCATTGGATCTATCTATGAAGCATATATGCATGACATTTTCACGTGCAGACATAGACAGATGTACTCCTCCACCCATGAACTTTTATCTTCTAGCACCAAGTTTATTGAAGTTGTGGAGCCATTGCTATTTCAAAATAAGGTTAGCAAATCCAGCTCGTTAGACTTTGTGTGCAGTTTCATTGACATGCTTGTAGTAAATGACTGTTGTGAAAATGAAACAGGTTGACTTGGCTCTTTTCTGTGCACTATTTTTTCATAACAAATCTACCTACATACAACACCAGTTATATTTCCTCCATTTGTCAACTTCCAAATTTTTACTCTTACAACAATGCAGTCTGATATTTAAGCATATTATATTTGTCAGTTCTGATTTTGTGCCTTCATAATCACTTCATAGCTCAAAAATACTTTTAATATGAAGCATTTGGAAGAAATATTGAGTATGATCTACTTCATTGTAGTTTGTGACCTCAGAAACAAAAGAAGTTAAGGACAGTTTCCGCATTACAAAGTGACTGCTCTCTCAAGAAAGACAACATATACAGAAATGGAGGGGATATTAGGTTAGAGACACAGCCAAATACACAACAAATGTTATTCAAAAGCAAAGGAGATCTTGACACCAACATCTTTTCACTCTTTGAACTATACATGCTTGTAATTTTACAAAACTATGTAATAGTAAGTTCCAATGGTAATTGAAAAGGCTTTACAAACAATCCAATCATGTAGGTCAACGTGCCTCATTTAAAAATTCAGTTAATCATAATAAGCAATGCATTCATATGCGTGTTCAAACGAGCTTTGATTAATGAGTGTTCCACATCGGTAGAGTACTCTTAGGACGTGCCTCCACCGTAAGTTACTCATCATTGATGCTCAAGGCATTATGTTGTGATTGAAAGTCCAAAGTGGATGGAATTTTTATACCAAGATTCTCATCGAGGAAGCATATTCGACATATAATAATCTCAAAAAACAAAAAAAGGTTTAAAAATTGACTTTTATTTTGTCAACAATTCCAAATGACTTGATTCATCATCTCCTTATTTAATTGTTCTTTTTGGATCAATTGGATATATTTGATCCAGCTTTTTATTTATTTAAAAGTTACTTTAAATTAATGTTAAAAATAAAGTTGAAGTTGCTTACTATTATATTTTTTTTGTAGCTTAAAAAACCTTTTAAACTAAACATTATTTGACAAATTTTAAAAAAAATTAACTTTGTTTATCTTGTGTAATTAAAATAAACTTTTAAAAAATAAAAACATTAGTAAAAATGATTTAATTTAATGATAATATAAATAAATGAAAATTGTAAAATCGTGTTTTAAAAAAAATAATTTTTAAAAATATCGAAAATCATTTTAATAGTACATTATTTAAATGATTTCCAATTATAAATAAAATATTAATTAGAGAAATCTTAATATTGTCTATAAACAATAAAATATTTAACTTCTATTTTTGAAAAAAAATAAGAACGTTATTATAAACAATCCTTAGGAATAAATAAATAAAATAATAAATATAAATAAAGTAATTTTGAGATAATGTTGAAGAAGATTAAAAAAATATACATAACAAAAAATAATAAACTTATATAATTATTTTATCTAATTTCATATACAGTGTAAAATCTTATATCATGAATGAGTTATTTTATCTATAACACTTTCTTTGCTTTGTCATTATCCCATTAAGGTATGTTAATTAATGCGTAAACAAATTGTAATATTACAAGTAATATTTTGCTTTTCTTTCTACTTTTTCTATTTTTTTCTTTTAATTTTTTAGAATAAAAAAATCCTTTAATTTTTACGATAATTTCTTTTATTTATTCACAGACAATAATGTCAAAGAATTATCTCAATCTAATATAAATAAAGTAAATTACCTAACAATATTTTCTCATTCCTATATAATTTAATTTAGTAAATAATCAAATTATAATAATATTATGGTAGGTTTGCATTTTGATCCACACAATATTTGAGGTACTCAAACCAAGAACAATTATTGAATTGACTTTAATGTATATTGTTGAAAAAATATATATTAATATTATCTTAAACTCAAATAAAACAAGTATATATTACAGTACCATGTAAAAAAAATTATATAGATGATTTAACGTAATTTCACATCAAAGTATGTCTTGCCATAAAAAAATTAATTAACTGCACTGTAAAATGTGAAAAAAAAAAATTATAGAAACGACAACATTGTCATCAATGAAACTTTATTTTTCTCTCATTTGATTCAGTTTACAAAAACTAAACTAGTTTAATTGATCGAAAAGGATACTTAAATTATTATAATTTTTTATATATGTTCAATTTTTATAGATAAAAAAAAGTAAAAAAAAAAACGTCATCTTAGAGATTGATAAATTAAAAAGTTTAAAAATAATGATTAATTAAAAATTTAAAAATACTCAAGAGAAAGAAAAAAGAAAAAGAAAAAGAAAGAGAGTTGAAATCCTATTCATATACGTTTCTATTTCTAACCTTAAATTTGAATGGTGCATGCATCATGATGTGTATGTACATAACTTGGACGTTAGTTATTTAAGGTTTGAATTCAATCCACAACGTTGTTGCTTTGTTCTCTCCATCGTAACAGTTTCCACCTATTAAATTATTTTAGCCTTCACACATGAAACCACTGGGGAATAATTGTCTCGTGTGAAAACATGTATACATTTTTTTTCTTTTTTTCTTCGTAACCATTCATACAACGAAAACAGTATTTTTTATGACGAAAAATATTAATACAATACAATGTTGTTTTGACTTTTAGAAAAATAAATAATTTAAAATATAATTATTTTATTTTATTCTACGTTTAAACTTTTTATACCTAAAAATATTTATGTTAATTTTTTTAAAGCCGAAAATGGATGTTAGAATTATGGTATCTTGAAAGCATTGTGAACGTGGCATTACGTTCACGCATTGTGTTACTGTAATTGCAAGCTCCAAAATAATATTCACTCATTTGCTTTATTTAATTTATTTTTGGTGATGCACGAATAAAGGCGTATTCTTAATTCGTTAATAATAATTTCGTTTTTTTTTTAAATTAAAATAAAAACCAAGATCAAATAAAATTATTAACCCGCTCAATCAAATACGCATTTAATACAAACTAAATTAATCTCTATCTAATAAATATGAGAAAAATTGTGAAAAAAGAAGCCTAACATGATCAATTGACCTAATTGTTAGATATATTATGTTGTTGAAAATACTAAAGTGGCAAACATCACAACACAAGCCACAATCGTAACTAACTAAAGAAAATAAAGATGGATAAAAAAAAGGAGAAGAAAAAGATTAATACCGACCAAACCATGCATCTAAAACTGTTGTATCCTGAAGAAACCAAACCGCCGTGTTCTCCCCATCAATAGTTGATTAAATGCTTATAAACTATGTCTCGCTATCACCTAATTAATTATATTCAGTGATTCCTCAATTCTTCCATCAAAGTTTGTTTTCGTTACAATAAAACCAAACAAATTCTAACATTTTCTTATAAATCAAAGCATTTCTCATTTGCAAACAAAACTCATAGTACATTCACAAGAATCTCCACCACTTTTTTCGGTTTTGTTTTTGTTCACTCACGTATCAGTATAACACTATTCATGTCTCCTACCTTAATTATTCTCCAAGTTGCTGCAATTGGACCACCTCTTACACTCCTTCAGGTTTAATGATTGGTATGCATTCTATTCTATGCGTTCTCCATTTCCATTTCTCGTTTTACGTTCATTATTCCTGTTTTGAGGCAATTGCTATGTAAGGGAGTGTTTATTCTGAACATGTCAATATTTTAGTTTAGTTATAAATAAAGTGGCATTTAGAATTGAGCAATTAAAACTTATGCAAGTTTATGCCAAAATTTCAATTGTTTTTTCATGTACAGGCCCGAGTTTTATACATATTTGTTGATTTCGTGACAGGTTTTATCTGTTTAGTTTAGTTTTTGTGTAATGAATGATCTTTGTGGTCCAGGTGAGAGGCTTTTTGGAATTGGATCGTGGAGAATGGGAGCAATCCGTAGATGATGTGTTTGAGGAATTGCTTTAATAAGGTTTTATTCCCGCATTCAAACCCACACCAGCAACCCATTCTCTGTTCATGAGTAAGCAAACAGAGAGAGAGAGAGAGAGAGAAGAGAAGGAACGTGTAGTTAATTATTTTAACACTTCCCAAAATTAGTTTCTGCAAACTGTTAAAACAGTGACATTTCCGGAACGTGTTTAATTATTTTCAGAAGATACATGATTCACAAAATTACGTTTCGGAGACGAAAGGGGTGTTTTGGGAAAAGAAAGAGAAGATTGTGAAAGGCGAGTGCATGTAACACTTATTTAAGAGAGGGTAAGATTGAAGGAGCACAGACCCAAAACCTTATTTTCTTTCTTGGAAAGGAAAGGCTTATCCATAGCTTGCAAACTTGTGTCTTCAATTCTGTTTCTCCCATGGAATCTTGTAAACGAATTCTGAAACATGTATCAGTTTTACTGGTTTTGTTCCTTAGCCTTAGTTGTTCAACCTCTGAAACTCTCAGTCCTTCACTTTTGGACATTGTGATTGCTAACACCACAGTCCTACACCGCAATTTCACTGCACTTTCAGAATTCAGAATGGTAAACAGACGAATTTTGGGCGACTGCTCTGCTTCAAATCCCTTCCTCGAAGTCAATGTCATCTCAAATTCTAGTCTATCGGATGACGAGTTTGTGACAGTTACAGTCACTGGAGTTGCCAATCCTTCAGACGGTGATTGGGTTGCTATGATCTCACCTTCAAATTCGGAGTAAGAATTTATTCATGCAATCACCAATCATTATTACTATTATTATCATTTATTGTTTAGTTTATATTAATTCCAAGAATAACAATTTGGTTTTGTGGCATTGCACATGGATTGGATAGTGTGAAATCTTGTATTCTGAACGAGTTCTTCTATCTACAAACTGGTGATACAGCGAAACTTCCCCTGTTATGCCACTACCCTGTCAAGGTATGTTCATGGACACATACTCTTACTATTTTACCTTTCTTCTTCCATTTTCCTTATTAATTTATTCCTCAAGAACTGTGGCATATTCTGCTTGCTTAAAATATCCTTCGAACCAATAAAAATAAATAAATAAAACAAAACAATCGAACAACACAACCATAATGCATGCAATTTATTGTTGATCCTAAGACTCATAAATGCCACACCTATTTTCTTGGTTGGGTAATAGTACAAAACTTGCTTGTTTGCCAAATTATTGATACTTATACATCCCTTTTCAACCACCTTATTTTCAACCAGTCCTTTTTCTCTTCTAATTGGAAAATGATAATTTGATCATTATTTTTAAGATAATGACATATCGACAATTATATTTGTAATAATATAATTATTACATTGGTAAAAATGTTTGTCAATTGGGCAGGTTGTATATTCTACATCAAGTTGTTAAATTATATATATATATATATATATATATATATATATATATATATATATATATATATTTATTGAGTAAAAGTGATTGTCAATTGTTAATATATAATTTTTTTTGTAATTTTTGTATAATTTAAATAATCATTTCATTATTTCTTAGAAGTTTTACCGCAATTCATATTATTTCTTATTTGATAAAAATTTCAGTATATATACATATATTTATTGATTAAATTATATCGGCGTAATTTTTATTTAATGTTATATTATTAATAAAGCTCTATATTGTAGATAATATGCAATAAAATTTGACATAAATAACCTTAATAAAACTATAATTTTAACTATTAAATCGATAAAATTCATTCTTGATATTAAAGTTATGATCTCTCGTTTTATTATAAAAAATTATTATTGGAATGACAACACTTCATGTGATGTAATACACATTCAATGCCTGATGTAATGGACTAAATAATGGCCAAAATTACATGTTAGCATAAATTGTTTGAAGAATTTGGAGGAAAGTAACACCCTTTCTTCATTAGGCACATGTATGAATCTTCATTATATAACACAAAAAGCAAAACTAAAATAAAATTACCCATTGTTCAAGGAAAAAAATTAATATATTTTTTTTCCACTTTTAGTAAATAAATGAAAGAAATAAATATTAATACTATATTAAAAATTTCTTTAGTTTATTGATTTTGGCAATTCATATAGTTGATTTGGGGTAATATCACATCAAGCATCACTATCAACAAACCTAGTTAGCTTAGTGAATATTGAAAAAGGATATAATAAATGATAGTTAATGAAACTTAATCCTTCTCTTAGAGGTTGATTAATTAGACATCTAATGAAAGACAAAAAAAACATATTGATAAATGAAATATTTATAAGAAAAGTCAATTCCCATGATTCATTAATGCGAGTAAACTGGCATTAATGGGTTGCCTTTGCCTCATTGCACAAATCATGCATTGTGACGTTCTTTCTTTCTCTCTCAAGAGTTTAGATTGACTTTTCCTCACCGACAGGTGGCGAACACCCAACTCCAACTGTATTTATGTTCACACGCTTTGCTTCTCATTCACATAAACTGAACCTTTTATTCAAAGATTTCAACTCAATCCATAACCACGTTGTTGTTTTTCCATTGCATCTGTCTCTAATATTGTCACAGATTGTCTCATCTGAAAACATACGTAAATGTTTGTTCTTCCGTTTTCTTCCTCAAAAATTTCAAAGCTTTTATAAAGTGAGACAATTTAATTTCCTATGTGGTTATGAGTTAATCACAACACTAAAATGGTATCAGTTGCTTCATATTTAGAAAACATGTCTTACTCATAATCATTTACACCAAAGAGCAAAAAAAAAAAAAAAGTCGCATGTATTAATTTTATTAATGCGTCAAAATTAGACAGATGGATGTGGAAATAAATAGTGCTGTATTTGATTCCTCACATGATGCATTTATTGGGTTTACATTCACACAAATATTGGAAAAACCATTGTTTATCCTTGGATTAAATCCCAGTGTGTTTAAATTATCGTTAAAAATGCAAGTGTTCTCATTTTTTACTTGGAATGATCATCAAATCCAAGAAAAAAAATATATATAAAAGTTACGTAAAGATTGTTTTTGTCAAAAAGAAAAACTTGAGGTGGATTTGTCTTCAAGTCGAATCAAACACGCGTTCAGTCCACCACCCCTGCGAACAACATTTAAAAAAAAAAAAAAAAAAAAAAAGGTTCAGGTCTCAGTTTGTATGATTTGTGCACAAAAAGTTTTTTACAGTAAGATTGCACCTTTAGTTATTCTAATTTGGATTATGTTATTTGTATATCAAATTATATAACAATACTTTTCTTTTTGTTGCATCCTTAGTTATATATAATTTTTTCCTTCACTTATTTTTTTCTCTTTTGTTACTGAATTTGTTGCAGTACAAGTAATATTTTTATTTTTCAAATAAATCATTCTTTATTTTTAAAATTAAAAAAAAATTGGCCTCTATCGATTTTTATTTAAAACCTTGTTTTTTTTACCTAAACATTCGAGTATTTATGATGAATTTTTTATATAAGATAATTTTAAATTTTATATATAACAAAAGCTTTGTAAAAATTTAAAAATAATTTCAATATTTCAAAACTTATAAGATTAGAATTGAAAAAGGAAAAATTACAAGATGCTACGATTGTGCTATTTTGAATGTATGCCAAAGTGACATTACGTTCACGCAATCTGTTACGTACTATTATTATTGCAAGCTCAAAATTAGTATCACCATTTTTTTTCTTCCCTCGATATTTACGCATTTAGTTAATTTACTTATTCTAGGTGAGGCAGGAAAAAAGACATATTCTTATTCGTTAATAATATCTGCAAATTTATATACATTTCTTATTTCTCTGTGCATTATCTGGTGGATATGATGCTTCCACCTGATTATCTTTGTCTCCCTGCAACTGAAGTTGATTGTCGTAAATAATTATAAATTCATTAATAAATATAAATATGTTCCTTTCTTTTCCTTTTATTGTTAATTTTGTGATGCACATTTTGCTAATTTGCTTTGGTGGAAAGTCCAAAAGTCGAAAAATTGGACAATCTTGAAAACTACAAGCCGAAGATTTTAAGCCCAGTGAGTGGATTCCTTAATGATAAACAAGAAAGTGCTAACATTAGTGATTAATACACTGAAAGTGAGGTTTGGGCAATAATTTTGGGCATTACTTGTGTGTGTTTTTGGATTTAAGGGAGCGAACGTGAGCTTCTCCTATCTCAACTTTTCTCAAACAAATTATGTGAAAATTAATTGATTTTGTAAGTTGTTAATCAATTCTATTATGTTACGAATTCCTTCTTTTGAGTTTAAAATACTTTTAAGCTTTTGAGTTCGTGCAAATGTCTTATAACTAGTACTAATAAATGTTGTACAATCGGATTAACGAAAATGCAGGCACAATACATGAAAAATGATCCAAACTACCTCAGTTGCAAAAACAAAGAATGCAAGAAATACCAAAATGGGAAATGTGTTATCTCAACGTGCAGTGGTTCAATACAGTTTCATGTTATCAATATTAGAAGTGACATTGAGTTCGTGTTCTTCTCTGATGGATTCCTGAAACCCTGCCTTGTGGGAAGGTCCACGCCTCTGAGTTTTGCTAATCCCAAGATGCCACTCTATGGACATCTATCAAGCATAGATTCAACTGGAACATCGGTGAGTACCAAACCACTTTTTCAGCTTCAAATATTCTCTGTCATTAATTCTCAAATGTGATTTGGTGCTGCAGATGAGATTGACATGGGTTAGTGGAGACAAGGAACCTCAGCAAATCCAATATGGAATTGGAAAAACAGTTACTTCAACAGTCACTACATTCTCACAAGCTGATATGTGCAGTGAGTGATAGCTTTACTTTAGTTTTCCTTATGAATAAGTTTGCATTTTGGTTAGAATGGTTTTACCAATTATTGTTCGATTCCATTTCAAATTGACAGGTTCAGCGCTGCCCAGTCCTGCTAAGGATTTTGGATGGCATGATCCGGGTTACATCCATTCAGCAGTTATGACAGGACTAAAGCCTTCCAGCGCCTTTTCGTACAAATACGGAAGGTATTAACTTCATGGAATAAATTGAAGACATAATTTGAGAAAATATCTCTTTACCCATTTAGACACATTAATAATCTTATCTTAAGTTGATTTTAAACCGAATCTCTGTCAAATAAAAGAACTTGGCTGGTAAGGTCTGTTTAGATTACCATTAGATTCCTTTTAAAGGTACATTCGGAGCAAAACATATAAAGAGTATTCCTAAAATCTTTGTTTAAAGCATTTATCCAAACAAGCAGTAAGTGAATTCAACTCCCACTTAAAGCCCAAGAATCTCATTTTAATTTTATTCGGCAAGGTCCTTTTTACAGCACTCTAATTCACACTTGAACCTCGACCATTTCAAGAATTGAGGTTTAAGCTAATTTTCCTTCTGCTTATGGTCCAGTGACTCGGTTGGTTGGAGTAAACAAATCCAGTTTTCAACTCCACCAGCTGGAGGATCTGATGAGCTCAGATTCATTGCGTATGGTGATATGGGTAAAACTCCTCTTGATGCTTCTAAAGAACACTACATTCAGGTAAACTGCCACTTCAAGCATTTTAGCATTTAGAGTTTATATGATATGCCTATTAAGTAAAGATTTGGCTACTGGTGACACCTTTTGGTATTTTGTACTGACCAGCTCTCGTCTTGTTTTACAAACAGCCAGGAGCTCTTTCAGTGATTAAAGCAATAGCCAACGATGTAAATTCCAACAAAGTAAATTCAGTCTTTCACATCGGAGATATAAGCTATGCAACAGGTTTTCTAGCAGAATGGGATTTCTTTCTTCATCTCATCAACCCAGTAGCTTCCAGGCTTTCTTATATGACAGCAATAGGGAATCATGAGAGGTATTTCATGCACATTAACGACAATGCTTTCCAACGAGCTTTTTCCTCCAGTATCTACATTACTTGAAGAATTTATTCCCACAAAATCATTTGCTTAATTTCCTGTAAAAATTATTGAGTACTTAATGAATAGTAGGCATTTTAGATTTGATGAAAAATAGAACAATTTCTAAACTCCTTGTTTATACTTAGGGATTATATAGATTCTGGTTCAGTATATGTTACTCCTGACTCTGGTGGGGAATGTGGAGTACCTTATGAAACATACTTTCCAATGCCAACTTCAGCAAAAGATAAGCCTTGGTACTCTATTGAACAAGGAAGTGTTCATTTCACAGTAATGTCAACTGAGCATGATTGGTCAGAGAATTCTGAGCAGGTAAAATGAGGGAAGCCACTATTCTGTTTCTTTTATTTATACTTCAATTGAATAGTTACATAATATGTGTAACTTCCCTGTTGCAGCATAAGTGGATGCAAAAGGACATGGCATCGGTTAATCGACAGAAAACTCCTTGGTTAATCTTCATGGGGTAAGTGAGTTGTGCACACTTTTAGAGAATCGGTTACCCCAAATTCACAGCATCATTTGATCTATCTATTAACCATATTATACTTGACATTTTAACGTGCAGACATAGACAGATGTACACTTCTCACCATGGATTTTTACTTTCTGAAAACAAATTTAATGAAGCTGTGGAGCCATTGCTATTTCAAAATAAGGTTAGAAAATCAAGCTCCTTAGATGTTGTGTACAGCTCATTGACATGCTTGTAGTAATTGACTGTGTTGTGAAAACGAAACAGGTTGACTTGGCTCTTTTCGGCCATGTGCATAACTATGAGAGAACTTGTTCTGTGTTTCAACATAAATGTAAAGCCATGCCTACAAAAGATAAAAATGGAGTAGACACATATGATGGCCGAAATTACAGTGCCCCTGTGCAAGTTGTCATTGGCATGGCTGGCTTCACCTTGGACAATTTCTCAAACAATGTAATTATCCCTTCATCATAGTCTTATCTTTTCTTCTCAATTCTCTACACTTCACACATATTTTCTCTCCATGCAAGAAAATTACATGACATAATTTTTTATAATATATATTCATATCATCATAATAGTGTTCATAATTTTTTAATAAGCAACCAAATTTTTTGTTCTCTCGCATCTACAGGGGGAGAGCTGGAGCCTGAAAAGGATTTCCGAGTTTGGTTATTTAAGAGCACACGCTACAAGGAACCTCTTAAACGTGGAGGTTAGTGTTTACCATGTTTGCATTCTAATCTTACGTACACCCTTTAATTTTTCATCTGTTTCTATATTTCTATCTATTGATAAAGGATTTTTTTGTGGATTTTTTTTCTGTGCACTCTATTTTCTTTATTCATAAAAAACCTCCCCACAAGATAGAAAAGACCCAAAAAGAAGACGAAACAGACATCCATACAAAAAACAATCAACAAGACAAACCGAAAAAATCACATCCAGTCTAAATTATCTCTCCCAACAAGAAGCACAATCACCAAAACAACTTTTACAAATTGCAACAATATTACATATAAGTATAAATAAATATCAATGATTTTTTCTTTCAGAACAAAGAATTAATGTGGCCCCCATTACATTCCTTCTTTTGTCATCATCCAATTTTTTTAAAAGTGAAAATAGATGCAAGAGATGTTAAACTAGATAACAGAAACCATTTTATAAAGCAGATGAAAATAAATACACGATATAATATACGTATAAATTATATTCCAATAAATCTGATTCTAATAAAATATTCCTAGAATTATAAAGATCCTTATAAACTAACAAATAAAAATTTAAAAGAAAAACTTAGCTTAAGAGAAACGGTCAAACAAAGCACCCTGATATTAAAGCTGCGAATGAAATAAAATTACCATTCCTTGTTTCATAATATTTTATATTATTTTCAGTTCTAAAGTTTTTTATTTTTATTTTAAGCATTTGGAAGAAGCATGATACAAATTATATATATATGACCATCATCTACTTCATTGTAGTTTGTCATCTCGGATACAAAAGAAGTTAAGGACAGTTTCCGTATAACAAAGTGATAGCTTACTCAAGAAAGACAACAAACAAAAGTGGAGGGTATATTATAGATAGAGACCATACAGACAAATACACAAACAGATGTTACTGAAAGGATAAGGAGATCTAAATAGGAACATTTTTTCACTCTTTACATTGTATATATGGTTGTAATTTGCACAACTTACAGCAAGATGAGTTGTAATAGTAAGCATTATAGACTATCAAATCATGTAAGTTAACGTTCATGTCCTAAAATGTGTATCATATAATCATAATTCATAATAAACGGTGTTGAGGTGTAAAGATCGGTCAAAGGAAGGCTACTTCCTTGCAACTTCCTGGTCAAAGGAAGGGAGCTTCCTTGCAACTTCCTGGTCAAAGATAGGGAACTTCCTTGCAACTTCCTGGTCAAAGGAAGGGAGCTTCCTTGCAACTTCCTGGTCAAAGATAGGGAACTTCCTCGTAAGTTCCTGGTCAAAGGAAGGCTACTTCCTTGCAACTTCCTGGTCAAAGGAAGGCTACTTCCTTGCAACTTCCTGGTCAAAGGAAGGGAGCTTCCTCTCAAGAAGGATTTGTTTGGCTATAAATACCTCATTTTGTAACCTCATTTGTATCCAATCCAAGTGTGAAGAAAGAGTAGAGAGAGTGTATTCATACGGGCTTGTGTGAATTGTAACATTCGGTTTATCCTCTTATTCTAGTTCATTCTCCTGGCTTGGTTCGCCCCAGGATGTAGGATTTAATCCGAACTCGGGTTAACAAATATTCGTGTCTTTTATTGATCTCACATTGGTGTATTATTATTATTCCATCTTATCCGACCTTATTTCCCAACAAGCTGGTATCGAGAGCCGGGAGGTTGGAGATAAGATGGAGGGAAAGATTCAAGTCGAACGGTTCAATGGTTCCGACTTTGGATTACTGCGAATGCAAATGGAGGCTTACATGTACGGGAAGGACCTCTACGCACCTCTTGGGGAAAAACCTGAGAAGATGAGCGATGATGAATGGAAGGTGCTCGATCGGAAGGCGATGAGTGCTATAATTCTTTCGCTCTCTCGGAACGTCGCCTACCATGTGAAGGGAGCAAAAAGCACGAAGGAGGTCTTGCGAGATACTCGCAGACATGTATGAAAAACCATCGGCAATAAACAAGGTGATGCTTGATGAAAAAGCTGTTCAAATTGCAAATGGAGGAGCGAAAGTCGGTGGCCGATCATCTCAACGATTTCAACCAACTCACTACGCGGTTGGCATCGGTGGATATTTCGTTTGATGATGAGGTAAAAGCCACTAATCTTGCTCTCATCATTCTTGGACGGTTGGGACGTGGCTGTTACTTCGGTGAGCACTTCTTCGGCAAGGAGAAGATGAAGTTCGACAACATAAGAGATATGATGTTGAACGAGGAGACCGCGAAATCGGGCGGGTGGGTCGTACGGCTCGGCCTTACATACGAGTCCGAGAGGAGACCCGAAACACGAGGGAAAATCCGTGGGAGGTCAAAATCCGGGGAAGGAATAAAGGCAAGAAAGAGATGGTGTGTTGGAGCTGAGAAGCACTGGGCATATGAAAAGCGAATGCTGGGCACCAAGGAAAGACAAAGAAGGTCGGACGGCCAATGCCGCGACGGAGGACACGGCGGATGCACTCTTGTTGAGTGTGAGAAGCTCGCTCGATGACTTGGATCGTGGACTCGGGGGCCTCATTTCACTCATGCGGTAGCAGAGACATCATGGAGCCATACACGCGGGTGATTTTGGCTTGGTATATCTTGCGAGACAACAAATCCTTAAAAATTGTAGGGAAGGGAGATGTGCGAGATCAAGTCACGCAAATGGGTCATGTTGGACCCTACGTGATGTGAGACACATTCCGGGGCTGAAGAGGAATCTCATCTCGGTTGGACAGACTAGACAATGACGGCTTCCACACAATGTTTGGAGACGGAAAGTGGAAGGTCGGCAGAGGAGCTATGACTTTGGCAAGAGGGCTGAAGTCGGGAACGCTTTACACGGCGAGTAGATCCGGCTCAAACATTCTCTGGCGGGAGTTGTCTCACAATCGCACTTGTGGCACGATCGCTTGGGCCACATGAGCGAAAAAGGAATGAAGGTACTAAAGTCGAGAGGACTTTTGCCAGAGTTGGAGTCGGTGGACGTGGGTCTCTGCGAGCGATGCGTGCTTGGAAGCGAAGCGAGTGAGCTTCATAACCATCGGAAGAGCTCCAAAGACGGAAAAGCTGGAGCTCGTGCACACTCGACTTATGGGGGCCGGCATCAGGTGACATCTCTTGGAGGATCGATGTACTTACATGACGTTCGTCGATGAGCTGCACAAGAAAGGTATGGGTGTACTTTCTGAAAAGAAAATCCGAAGCCTTTGATACTTTCGGGAGATGGAGAGCACTCGTGGAGAAAGAGGCAGTGCGGAAGTGAAATGTCTCGAATCAGAGCAACGGTGGCGAGTACAACGGTGAAGCCATCAAAGAATACTTGCGGCGATCATGGGATCCGGATGCAGAAGACGGTCCCGGGGACACCTCAACAAAATGGCATTGCGGAGAGGATGAACGAGAACACTCGAATGAGCGTGCGAGATGCATGCGATTGAAGAGTGGACTGCCCAAGATGTTTTGGGCGAAGCGATCGGCACGGCCGCTTTCTTGATCAGCAGGGGCCTTATGTCCCATCTGAACAACAAAATTCCAGAAGAGGTGCAGAGTGGTAAGAAAGTTGATCTCTCTTTCTTACGTACCTTTGGTTGTTTGGCTTACGTTTTGAATGACGACTAGGACAAAGGCTGGATGCTAAGTCAGTCAAATGTACATTCATTGGATATGGGACTGGCGAATTTGGGTATAGATTTTGGGATGATCAAAATCGGAAAATTATTCGCGATCGTAATGTGGTGTTCAATGAAGGCATAATGTATAAGGACCGGAAGGAATACCGGACGATGACAAGACCATGCGGGAGTATGTTGGTCTCGATATTTCAAATACCGGAATCATGAGACCAGCGAGATTCGGTGGGAGCTCGAGATAGATGAGATCGAGCGTACGGAAGAAGAAGCGAGAACGAGAATCGGATGAGCCGATTGCTTGAGAGCGGCACGCCTCGGCATTGGGCCGAGAGCAGAGGATGAGAAGGGCCCGGATAGGTACTCCCCTTCTCTTTATTACCTACTTTTATCGATTACGGGGAACCGACTGTTATGCAGAGGCGGTTAAAGATGCCCACAAGAGCAAGTGGGAGCTTGCGATGGAAGACGAGATGAACTCGTTGAAGAAGAACCACACATGGGATTTGTGTGATCTCCCACAAGGAAAGAAGGCTCTTCAAAACGAGATGGGTCTATCGGGTCAAGGAGGAATCGAGATGGAACAAAACGGTACAAGGCGGTAACTTTGGAAAAGTTGAAGGCGTGTGTAGCTTCGATCGGCCTTGATGATTAAAACAGGCGAGACTTAGCGAGAACCAAGAGCAGAGATGAACAGGTTGACCAATCTTCAAGTGGGAGATTGTTGAGGTGTAAAGATCGGTCAAAGGAAGGCTACTTCCTTGCAACTTCCTGGTCAAAGGAAGGGAGCTTCCTTGCAACTTCCTGGTCAAAGATAGGGAACTTCCTTGCAACTTCCTGGTCAAAGGAAGGGAGCTTCCTTGCAACTTCCTGGTCAAAGATAGGGAACTTCCTCGTAAGTTCCTGGTCAAAGGAAGGCTACTTCCTTGCAACTTCCTGGTCAAAGGAAGGCTACTTCCTTGCAACTTCCTGGTCAAAGGAAGGGAGCTTCCTCTCAAGAAGGATTTGTTTGGCTATAAATACCTCATTTTGTAACCTCATTTGTATCCAATCCAAGTGTGAAGAAAGAGTAGAGAGAGTGTATTCATACGGGCTTGTGTGAATTGTAACATTCGGTTTATCCTCTTATTCTAGTTCATTCTCCTGGCTTGGTTCGCCCCCAGATGTAGGATTTAATCCGAACTGGGTTAACAAATATTCGTGTCTTTTATTGATCTCACATTGGTGTATTATTATTATTCCATCTTATCCGACCTTATTTCCCAACAAACGGTGCAAGCATGCATGTTCAAACTCGCTTTGATTGTCTGTTTCGGGCTGATAATTAGCATTAAGCAGTGCTGGGAGTACTCCTAAGCTACTGTGGGATCCATCATTGATCTTCAAGGTTTTACACTGAGATTGAGAAAGTACAAAGTGGATGGAACTTTTATGTGAAATATTCTCACTGAGGAAGTATATTATTGACATGAAATCTTTCTATCATATTATTATTATTATTATTATTATTATTATTATTATTATTATTATTATTATTATTATTGTTATTATAAAAAAATGTTAATGAAATTAATTAATAATGTAGTCAATACCAAATTTAATATTTAAAAATTTATGTTTTTTATATTTTTAAATAAAGGTTATGTTTCATATTTAAAAAATGGATATATGAAGAATGTTATGCTTAATTTGGGTCCTAAATAAGTTTAAGTTAACCTCCACCTTAAGTGTTCTAACAAATTGATCCAAATTGAATAAGAATACATTGAGATATTTGTTAATGTTGAAAAAAAAATTGAACAAATGAGTTTTATACCTTGTTTTTTTTTTTTAATTTTACTGATAAAAAAATCACATTTAAAATAATTGAATATTTTAAATGGTTTTGGAATAAGAAAAGGGTATACAAGAATGGTTTTGGATGGCAGTGTGCGGTGAGATCATGCTGTAAACTTGATGGAATAATGGTTTATTTTACTTAATCTCTTTATCAATTAATGTTAACAAACTTGTTTATAATTCTATTTATAAAATGATTGTAACGTGAAAAATAAGACGATCCGATATAATAACTGTAAAATAAATAAAATATCTTTTTAATAATTTTTGTTTCAAATTCTATTATATTTTTCTATTCTCTTTGTATCTCGGTTGTTTATCTTTTATGTCTCGAAGATTTAGTTTCTTATATTATCATCAAGATCGATTCTAATTGGGATATGCAAAAGTATTGTTTTGGTAGTAAATCAAACGGGGTCTTTATGTCTGAATTTTATTTTATTTTTTCTCTAAACAAGCATTTTTGTTATTAAATTATATGTGTATCTCTTTCTCCATATTTGGGGTTGTTTACTCAATGAGGAAGAAGAAGATGAGAATTGAATAGAATTGCTTTTACTTTCCGCACCTCCTTTATTGGGACCCTCTTCTTCCATTTGGGTTAGTGGTCCTTTTATTAATTGTGTATAGGATCTGTTGATCTGTTATTTTCTTATCCCTTACCCTATCAATTTCCTCCATTTTTAGATTATTCTATCGTCTTTCCAACTTCAAATTCAAATAGATGCCCTCAATTAGCTCTTTTAGAAAAAGCTTAATGGTTTATGAATGTTGATAAACTTGTTGGAATGAGTTTATTTATGTTATTGTTTGGTTTTGGTAGGTCAATTTCATAACTTGAATTTAAGCATGATATGAAGTTCAGATAAGATTGACTGGGTCTAGCTTGAAATATTCAACATATATTAGTTATTAGATTTGTTACGTATATAATGGATTGTTTGTTGCATATATAATATGATAATAGATCATGGAAAATTTTCGAAATCTTTAAGAAGAGTAGTGCATCAAATTACTTAACTAATAATTTAAGTTTTAAAGGATCTTAAAGCTTCTTGATGGACTCAAAAGTTGTATAGTTAGGACTAGCTATCATGATATCATTCACATGAACTAATAATAAGACAAAGGAAGTGTTTGATTAGCTGAAACCATGAGCAATGAAAGAGGAAGAAAACTTGCCAAACCTCTTTCAAATCCCATTTGAGACTATAAACATATTTATACAATTTACATGCTAGATATCAATGTCTAATTGAAAAATAATTGGAGAATCTCTATTCAAAAGGAGATGAAAATTCTGGATTGAAATTTTATCTAGATTTATCTTTTTTCTGAATTATATAATATAGGTCAGTCCTGAGCCAAAGCCAAACTCATCTCACCACATGCTATTGCTCCACAAACCAAAACACTTGTCAGCATAATCTTCTGAGGCTGATCCAAATTAAGGATTTTTAACCTTATTTGAATTACTTGCAGGTGTTATCTAGTTTCTTTAAGATAACCTTTGATTGGTCAATGCTCAATGCTTGTAGCGGACCATCTTCAGTTCAAAATTGTATTTTTATTGATCTATATATATAAGAACCTGTGCGGTGGTCCTATGAATGAAAAATACACCACAAGAAAATTTTCAATTAGCTAGAAATTTTTGCTACAAAATTTCTTTTTCACTAATTTATAGCTAATTAGCTATTAAATAGTAAAAGAATAAAGTTGTAGCTAATTTGTAGTAAAATAGCTAGAAGATAATATTTTTGTAGCTATTCCCTCACTTAGTAGAAAAATAATTTAGTTAGAGAAAATTTTTATCACTAATCCCTAACTATAAATATTAACTATGTTATTTTTTGAAGCTATTTCTTAGCTAAATTATATAACATACAATCATAGTTAAATTGTAGCAAATTTATAACAAAAAATAATTATAAAATTATTTTTACCAAATTTACTATAAATATATTAATTATATATATATATATATATATAAATTATTTTCTGTTTCTGAAATAAATTATTTGAAAATAATTATAACTTTTTTAAAAATATATCTAAAAAAATTGATAAATATTTAAAATTATTTTCTGTAAATTTTTTATAAATTTAAATTTGTAGGAAGTATTTAATAATTTAAATTAATAAAAAAATTATAAATAATTTTTTTAATAATTTTTTACATTGCATAATTTATCTAAAACTGTAACATAATTTGTATCTCGAGTCCCTAAAACCATATTTTTCTACATCATGTTACTTATTTTATAATCTGTTTCGCAAATTAAACAAAGTAGATTAAATAATCCACAATTCAAACAATTATTAAACTCTTGAACTAGCATTGTAAAACGGCAGCGTTTGCAATATTTTTCCTCGAGGCGCGCGCCAAAATAATAAGCTGAAATAGATATTTTTTTCCATTCTTACTTCCGTACCAAACAAGTATCCTCTTTTTCTCTTCGCAAAATCAAAATCTCACGCCACAGAGGAACAATCATTCAACTCTTCCAATCCTTCTATTCATAACCTTTTCCCTTTCCTTTAAACTCCAATTTCCTGAGACAAACCATCGCCATTATTTTCCATTCAAAATTAAACATCCTTTCACGACGAAGAAAATGGGTTGTTAGGGTTTTCGTTCTCCGTTACGGTCTCGGCATTACGGTTCTCCGCCTCTTCCTCAGCGAACCGTGATCATTTCCATTCTATTTCACACTCTCTGTCTCTGTTCTTCGATTTAGGGTTCATAATTCTTCTTCCGATTTTGAACCGAGTGAATTGTAGAAAATGTACGCTGATCTCGTGGAGAATGGAGGGCAGAGGTCCGTGAAGGAGCGCCTTAATGGGAATGGTACTAGTGGTCCTACTTGGCTGCAGCAACAACGTCAAATCACCGGTAAGAGGTTTGCAATTCTTACTCCTTCATGTTTTCATGATGTTTTAGGCTAGGTTTTGAATTCGGTTGTGGTTTCGCCATGTAAATTGATATGGTGGACAATTGCGGTTGTGGACAAACTGTTGGCCACCATCATTTTTTTTTCTTGTGATTGTGGTGCATGTGGAGGAAATATAATTTCTTCTTGTTAATTATACTATTTTTGGAAGAAAATCTAGGTTGAATTGGTATGGTATCAGTTAGGAGATGTTTGTTGCATACGAGGAATGATGACATTCTTTAAAGAAATACATGACATCCCTAAAATACTACGACCGGAAACGTTATTTTATAGACAAACTAGGGTGTATGATCAGCTTTTGTTATTTTTGTCACCCTGAGTAGTTCTTATAGGTGCTGATCATCCACTTAATTCCGTTAAACTTGTCAGATTCTTTTATAACTATCCCATGGTTTAACTCTACGAATATTGAGGGATTTAGCTGCCATATGATGATGCAAAGTGAATAGCTATTTTAGAAAGGTTTCCCTTGCATATTGAGGGAGCTGAGTCATGATAGATAAAGCATTGTTCAGCAATCATGCAAAAGTCAATGAGCCTCGTGAAAACCACTTCTCTTCCGAAAGGAAATATGCTTCAAGGGTCACATGAAAGATAGTGACTCGTGTAGGAATGAAGTACCAAATGAGTTCCTAAATGATATAGGCTATGACAAACAGGTCCCTGAAATAAAATTTCTTCCACATTAATGCCGAAAGTTTTTCTCTCTTGGGCAAGTTTTTATAAAGACTACATCTGTCATATACCTCTACATGATAGGCACTATGGGATCTTAGTTCCTTGAGAACCAACTACCTGGATGCTACACTCAATGACACTTGACAGGGTCTTTCTGGTCATCCCTCTATAGATAGCCCTTTCCAAGGCATTGACCACCAACTCGTGATAGATTGCAAATAATCCAGGCTAGGAGTGACAACGATTAGGGCGGATTTCCAAAAATAATAACTTTTTTTGTTATCTTTATTTGCTTTTTATTTTCATGTGTTTTTGTTTATAAATTTCAAAACAATGTGCCAAGATTATGTGTGTCTTCATACTTTTATAGGGAAGGTTTTTGCTTGTCTGTTGTAAGTGGCCGCATTTTAGCCCAATCATATCACTCAATCCTTCAAGTTGGTTACGAGATGATCGAGCAAGCGAGTTAATACTACCGATGGAAATAGTAGTGAATACCAGCCTGAAATTGCATGGAAAAGATGGGAGTTGTCTGTCATGTTGGAGCATGTGCGAGCCCATGTTGCACCAACGAGATGTTGATCCAGGGGCCGAGTGCAATGGCTACCAAAAATTCTCGGAGGATCTCCAAAAGTAATGCGTACATGCGCTCTTCTTGAGAGAGTTTTTATGCCTTGTGATATGTACTTTCAGTTCACAAGGCATAAAGGAGGAACTCCAAAGCTGAAGGTAATTCTTTTTGTATCATTGTAAAATCCAAAGATCCTTGTCGAGATGATGTCTTTTATATGAACTTACGTGCTGAATGATTTGCCACAGATTTGGATAATAGAAACAACCACCTCTCTAATATTTATGCTATGTACGTGGACAATTTTGAATAAATTATATATCTATTTTTTACATTGTTTTATTGCTAATTTATGGTATAGGTCAGAGTTTTGATCTTGGTATTGCACATGTTTCATCTTCATCAGTTGAAGGCACACAGATATCTAGTTTGCAAGAGCAGATGAAAACACAGTTGCAGGCACAAACTTATATGCAAGCATTGATGCAAACACAAATGAAGATACAAGCAGAAATGCAAACACTCATGCAACAACAAATGCAAGAAGAAATGCAATCTTTCAAGAAAAATTTATTATCTCGCCTTAAAGAAACAATGATGAAAATGTAATTTAAACTTTGTTTCTATTTTTAATTGTGTTATATAGAACTTTTTAGTTGAAATATTATTTTTGTTATATTTTAATTGTTTGAAACATCATTTTAACTATGTTTAAACAATATTTTTATATTGAAAGTTGATAAGTTTGTCTTCTTTTTTCAAGAATATGAGTAATAATTTAAATGTTAAACATTTGATATTATAATGTTATGATGATATATTAGCAGAAATATTTATTACGTCATTAAAATTATGAGAGATTAGCTACGGATTAACGAAAGATTAACTACGGATTAGCAAGAGATTAGCGAGAAAAGAATTTTGATAAAAATTGTGATGGATTAGCTATGAAATAGCGAGAGAAACATTACGAAGGATTAACTACAGATTAGCAAGGAAACAATTGCGAGACATTAACTATATATTAGCTAGAGATAAATTGTTAGGGATTAGCTACAGATTAGCGAGAGAAAAATTGCGAGGGATTAGCTACGGATTAGTGAGAGCGAAATTGCGAGAGATTAGCTACGGATTAGCGAGAGAAAAATTGTGAAGGATTAGCTACGAATTAGCTACAAGTTTTGGGAGATCAATTAGCTAGAGAAAAACAAAATTTCATCATTTAAATTAGCGAGGGACTTAGCGACCGTTTAGTGACAAAATTTGCTACAAATTTGAGAGAGAATTCATCTGTATCTAATTAGCTACTTGGATTTAGCTACGGATTATTCCATAGCTATTCCGTAGCTAATCTGTAGCAAAACATACTAGCGAGAGATTAGCTATAAAATAGCTACGGAATGTGTCGTAGCTAATATGTAAAATTCTTGTAGTGATATAAAATACAAGAGAAGATAGCACCTATCTCATCATCTCTCACACATGTAATTCAGATTAGTTTATAAGTAAGAAAACAAAGTCAAGTTTGTTGTGTTGATGTGATTCATGTGAGCTAACAACAACATAAATTGTTGCTTTCTACCAAATCACATTAACTATGCTGCACTTTTCCAACCTTTTTCTGACCCTTCTTCTAAAATTAGTTTCTTTAATGTTACTGCTCTTCCAGGTGGCCATCACTCAACAGTTCATTAAATTTAAAACTCAATTTTCACAGGATAAACCAGTAATGTTGTGCCATATATCAGAAGCAAATATGTCCTATGTTGGCTAAAGTAGATATTCACGTTCTGAGGAAGGAATGTCCAAGTGCATCTCCTATCATACTGATGCATTCTTTAAACATCCTAATCTCAATCAAATCAGTTGTTTGGAACATTCTCCAATGTAAAATGTTATTAATCATTGTATGCAATACCCAATCAGTTTATGTTAGGTAAACATTAAATGCATGTAGTTGAGAGGTAGTGGTTATAGAGGTAGTAGTTGAGAGGTAGTAGTTGTATTGAATGTATGTAGTTGAAAAGTAGTAGTTGTATTAAATGTATATAGTTGAGAGGCCATATCCAAAGGCCTATAAATTGACCATGTACCACTCATTGCAAAAACACATCAAGTGATAATATACAGAGTGCTTTATTTAGATACTTGTTTGTCAACAAATTGGCATCAGAGCTTGAGAGCCTGAGTGTCTGAGTGCGTTAGAGAGAGTGTTTGAGAGTTAGAGAGTTTGATTGAGATGGCCAACTTAGCAAACAACATGCCCCTACCAAAGTTATCAAAAGGTGTAAGCTATGATAACTGGAGCCTGCAAATGAAGGCTCTCCTTGGTTCCCAAGAAGTATGGGATGTGGTCGAAAATGGGCACCAAGAACCAGAGAATATTGAAGAGCAGACGATTGCTCAGCTTGCTGCATTGAGAGGAACACGAGTAAAGGACAAAACGGCTTTGTACGTACTGTACCGAGCTGTTGATGAGTCCGGCTTTGAGAAGATAGTAAATGCTAAATCTTCAAAAGAAGCGTGGGATATTCTGGAGAAGGCATATAAAGGGGATAGTCGCGTGAAGCAAGTCAGGCTTCAAACTCTTAGAGGCGAGCTTGAAAGCATGAGGATGAAAGAGGTCGAAGGGGTTTCCGAGTACATCTCCCGTGTTGAGACCGTGGTGAATCAACTCGGAAGAAATGGAGAGACGCTGCCCACTTGCCGAGTGGTGGAGAAAATCTTAAGGTCGTTAACTGACGATTTTGAGAATATCGTTTGTGCAATAGAAGAGTCCAAGGACTTGTCGGTGCTCTCGGTGGAAGAGCTTGCCGGGTCGCTTGAAGCGCATGAGCAGCGGAGAAGGAAGAAGAAAGAGGAGTCCCTTGATCAAGCACTCCAAGCAAAGGCAATCTTAAAGGAGAAGAAGGTTCCTTATGCTCGAACACTCAAGGCCGAGGTGGTAGAGGCAGAGGAGAATATGAAAGAGGCAAGGAGCAAGTCGGCCAACAAACCGGCGTGGCCGAAGACAAGGTAGAGGTCGTGACGGTAGAAGCCGAGGTGGTCAGCCAAGCAATTTCGGAGTTGAGTGCTTCAAATGTGGGAAGTACTGGTCATTTTGCTAAGGACTCGCTATTCGGGTATCAAATGTTATAATTGTGGGAAGGTTGGACATTTTGCGAAGGACTCGCCGATCCGAGAGGAAGAAGGAGACAAACCTCCTCTCCGAGGACACCGAGGAAGAAGGAGTATTGATGATGTCGAGAAGTTCGGATGTCGAGCTAAGTCTGAGCTGTTGTGACAACTCGGTTTGGTATCTTGATACAGGAGCAAGTAACCACATGTGCGGGGACGAGAACCTTTTTAAGGAGCTCACTAAAGTTAAGGTCGGACACGTGTCATTTGGAGATGCATCAAAGGTGGCAGTAAAAGGCAGAGGTACAATCTGGTACCTACAGAAGAATAGCCGAGTTGGAGAAATCGGAGACGTGTACTATGTACCCGATCTCAAAAGCAACATATCGAGCATGGGTCACTGATGGAGAAAGGCTACTCTGGCTTCGATGAAAGACCGAGTACTATACCCGAAGGACAAGTCTGATCGTTTGATTGCCCGAGTAGAAATGAAGAAGAACGGAATGTACAAGATGGAGTTGAAGATAGTCCAAGAGAGGTGCTTGAAACTAGACGTGAAGGATGAAGCAATGATGTGGCACTTTCGATTTGGCCACTTGCATTTTGGCGGCTCGACCAAGTTGGTAAAGAAAGAGATGGTGCGAGGACTCCCGTCTATGGAATTTGAAAAGAAATTTTGTGAAGAATGTGTGCTCTGGAAGCATCCGAGAACCTCATTTCCGAGGACGGCCGAGTACCGTGCAAAGGAACAACTCTGGATTGATTCACACAGATCTTTGTGGACCGGTTACCCCCGAGTCCTTCAAGTGGGAAAAGGTATTTCATTTCTTTTATAGATGATTTTTCAAGAAAAACCCGGGTATATTTTTCGAAGGAGAAATCCGAGGTGTTTGAGGTATTCAAGAGATTTAAAGCAATGGTTGAGAAAGAGACTGGCATGCCTATCAAATCTGTTAGGTCTCGATCGAGGAGGCGAGTTCATTTCATCCGAACTCATGAAGTATTGCGAGGAGCAAGGGATAAGGAGATTTCGACAAGCACCATACTCACCCCAACAAAACGGAGTTGCCGAGAGGAAGAATCGAACCATTCTTGACATGGTTCGAACAATGTTGAGAAGCAAAAATGTGCCAAAGGAGTTCTCAGGCGTAAGCAGTGCAATGTGCCATCTATGTGCAAAATAGATGTCCACATGCTAAGTCGAACGAGAAGACACCACAAGAAGTCCGGAGTGGAAGAAAACCGAGTGTGTTTCACCTTAAAGTGTTCTGGTAGCATAGCTTATGGTCATGTTCCAGCTCAACAGAGGACCAAGCTCGAAGATAGAAGCAAAAGTACGTGTTTATTGGGTATGATGAAAAAACCAAGGCGTACAGTGTTGTTTAACCCAATAACTAAGAAGGTCATCATGAGTCGAGATGTTCAAATTGATGAAGAAAGCGAGTGGAGTTGGAACAACTCGGAGAAGGAGTCCATAGGAAGTAGAAGCTCGGAAGTTGATACACCACATACCGTGAGAGATCACGAGACTTCCGATGAAGAAGATGAACCTCTACAGCCCGTAGCGCGAAGTTTACAAGATATATACAACTCCACCGACGAAGTGCATGTTGTATGTCTCTTGCGGATTCGAAGACTTAAGTTTTGAAGAGGCCGTGCAGGAGAAAAGGTGGAAAAATGCAATGGACGAGGAGATCGGGGCAATAGAACGCAACAACACATGGGAGCCGACCGATTTGCCCAAAGGAGCGCAGCCTATCGGTGTAAAGTGGGTGTACAAGAAGAAGACAAATGCTGAAGGAGAAGTTGAACGATATAAAGCTCGACTCGTAGTGAAGGGGTACAAGCAGAAGGAAGGAATAGACTATGACGAAGTATTCGCCCCAGTGACAAGAATGGAAACAATTAGGCTGCTGATTTCCTTAGCAGCTCAACACAGATGGACAATCTTGCAGATGGACGTGAAGTCGGCATTTCTGAATGGAATCTTGGAGGAGGAAGTATATGTTGAACAACCACTCGGATACATGCGAAGAGGCGAAGAGAAGAAAGTGCTGAGATTGAAGAAGGCACTTTATGGCTTGAAACAAGCTCCACGAGCATGAAATGAAAGAATTGACACTTACTTCAAAAGGAATGGATATGAGCAGTGTCCTTATGAACATGCTCTATACATAAAGAAGAAAGGAGAAGATGTGATGTTTGTTGCCCTATATGTTGATGACCTTATCTTCATGGGGAATAATGCCGAGCTAATTGAAGAGTTTAAAGAAGTGATGAAGAAGGAGTTTGAGATGACTGACTTGGGTCTTATGAAGTATTTTCTTGGCTTAGAAGTTGTTCAGGGAAAGGATGGCATCTTTGTGTCGCAAGAAAGGTATGCTGAGGAGGTCTTGAAGAAGTTTAAGATGACAAGCTGCAACCCGGTTTCCACCCCTATGGAACCTGGTACAAAACTTTCTAAGTATGCAGATGGAGACCGAGTTGATGCAAGCAAATACTGAAGTCTGATTGGAAGTCTTAGGTATCTTACAAATACCAGACCAGATTTAATGCTAAGTGTTGGAATAGCAAGTCGATATATGGAGGAGCCAAGGTATACTCATTGGAAGGCACTAAAGAGAATTCTAAGGTATGTGAGAGGAACAGTGTCACTTGGCCTAATGTATACTAGGACGGATGATTATCGACTAGTAGGCTACTCGATAAGTGACTCGGTGTGGAGATGTTGATGACCGGAAAAGCACGTCTGGATATGTATTCTTCATGGGAAACACAAGCATTCACCTGGCTTTCAAAAAAGCAGCCCATTGTAACGTTGTCAACTTGTGAAGCCGAGTACGTTGCAGCATCCTGGAGTGTCTGTCATGTAGTTTGGCTTAGAAACCTTCTAAGCAAGCTGGAGTTGAAGCAAGAAAAAGGGACTGTGATTCGAGTTGATAATAAGTCGGCCATTGAATTGGCAAAGAACCCGGTCAATCATGAGAGAAGCAAACATATTGATGTTCGGTTTCACTTCATCCGAGAACAAGTGAAAAAAGGAAATGTGGAGTTAGAGCACGTCGAACCCGAGCACAAGCCGCAGATATGTTCACGAAGCCACCGTCAACCACTCGTTCGAGAACAAGCAAGAAGATGCTTGGAATGAAGGACAAAAAAAACATTTAAGTTTATGGGGGGATTTTGTTAGGTAAACATTAAATGCATGTAGTTGAGAGGTAGTGGTTATAGAGGTAGTAGTTGAGAGGTAGTAGTTGTATTGAATGTATGTAGTTGAAAAGTAGTAGTTGTATTAAATGTATATAGTTGAGAGACCATATCCAAAGGCCTATAAATTGACTATGTACCACTCATTACAAAAACACATCAAGTGATAATATACAGAGTGCTTTATTTAGATACTTGTTTGTCAACAGTTTACACTCTCATTAATTCAAAGGATATTGGTTCTTTCCTAACATGCTACTCTACATTAAACTCTCTCAGACATAATTAATCTTAATTAAAACTACCTTATGCATGCTGTTCTTTTTCAAACCTTTAGCTGCAGAAAACATGCAATATAAGTATAAAAAAGTAAACAAAAAAGCTAGATATTGGAACTTCTTTAAGTGACATATCACGTAGCTTGATAATGGCAATTTCTACGAGTACAAAGTTATCAAATGTATGCTTGACAGATCTTGTACTGAGTTTAATCCTGGTGAACATTTATTCTTCTTAGCTAAAATACCAAACCAGCTCTAAACTACCTACTGCACAAACGAAAGCATTATTGCTTCTAATTATTCTATCAACCATGTATTAAGAAGAAAACTTAGTAGTTTAGTATCATAAATCATATATATACAGTAAACAAATAAGATTTCATATTAAATCAATATATATTATTGGTTAGAGTAGTTGAGTGACTGTAACAAAAATATCATAAAAATATTATTTAGAACTTGAATTAACTTAGTTTTCTTTTTTGTGAAGAAGGAAGGTTGACGAACTACTGTAAATTGTAAATTACAAGCTACTATTTGTTTTATTAATCATCAATTAACACCATATACAATCACCATAATTTAATATAAATAAGAAACACTTTTCTTTTAACTTTTTCAAGAGTTAAGAAGATTTTTTTAGGATATTTTTAAACCTACAATTTCTCCCCCATTTATTGGGAAACACATTATTCTCTGGTAAAAGATAAGGATGATAATGATAGAAGATTAAACTAGTGTTTATGGATGTTTGCAGCCCACCACTTTCAACCAATTGTTTTGTACGTTACTTTATCCAAAATGCAGAGTTTTTAGGCAGTGGTCCTAGCTTCAATACAATAATCATCAAGTAAAAGAGAGAAAACAAAATTTATACACAAAACTAAATAGTTTTTATACTATTCTTTAACTATTATAAATTTTCTGAGTTTATAAGCTATAACTGATATGATTTTTTTCTGATGGATAATACTTGTTGTGCATAAAAGTAATTATAAAATATATGTGGAGTTTAGCTAAAAAATTAATAAAATATATTTATTTATGAAAATAAAAGTTAACCAATTTTCATCTTTTCTCTTTCATTCATGTTCTGTGACATGAATTAATAAATATATGTGGAGTTTAGCTATGGTGACAGGATTCTTGTGAGCTCTCTACCAATCACATTAACCATCTCTCTTTCCCTCACACCCTCTTCCTATCTCCTCTTAAAACTCTACTTCTCTTTGCAATTTAATTATCTTATCTTATGTTGCTGCTAATTAGATCCAGATAAATTTTTCTTGATATTTTAGCTAGTAATGTGGAGGCATAAAGCAGAAGAGATATTCTTGCATGATTTTATGAACTAAGATATTTTCATTTTTCCATATGAAGAAGGAAAGGAATGTGCCTTTAGATAATCATTCTATAAATATTTGTAAACAAGATTAGGAAAACAAATGGATCGATGAACAGAAAAAAATTCTTAAATATTGTTAAGAAATTAAAATTATAACTATTTAAAAAAAAAGAAAAAAGCTTTTATTTTAAAATATACATTTTTTTTATATTATTTATAACTTTCAATATAAACATTGTTTACTTGTTATTTTCTGAATAATGGTGAATAATAAAACCATTAAAAGTTTACAAGTTAAATTTAAGAGTTTAATTAGAAAATACGGATTCTATGCATTCATTGTGATCTAATTACATTATTACATAATTATAATTTTTATACGTTGTAATAATTGATTTAAAATTTATATTTCAAATTATTTAATTAATTAGTTGTGACTTAAAGTCTTTGTTTTTTCAATTATAATATATGAACATTTTAAGGAAACTTTTGGTGAAATTGTAATATTCCTTCTATATATGAAATTAGGGAAGTATATTTTCTATTATAGTTTACTTCTCAAAAAATAATAATCTTAAAAAAAAGGCATTTTTTTAAAATAATTTTTGTTCAATTTTTCATCAAATGAAATTCCTATATGTAACATTCTACAGTATTAACATCCCACGTTAATATATTTAGGAAATCTAATTGAAAAAAAATTAAAATATAAGAGACTAATTCAGTGTATATATGATTTTTGAAAGACTCAAATATAATTAGAACCTAAAAAAAAATCACACTATTACAATGCATCAAATCAAACACCAAGAGTGCAATTAAACCTAATATTTATAAAAGTAAAGACTCAAAGTTTGAAGAACAGAAAAAAGTTATGGAAATGGAAACCCTAATGAAATCTTAATTGGAAAGGAAGACCCTTTTGGCCTTTTCCACATGGCAGGTGGTAATTGGTGGAATAAAAAAATAGCAGAAAAATGCACAACAGCTCAAACATGGAACATTACAAAAAGGAGCATTCTTGCATTGGTCCTCAAGAAAGACACCCAATTCACTATTTCTCTCTCTAACACACACTCTTTAGTCAATCTAGCCGTTAACACTACACAATGATTTCATGACATAACATGACATTTACCTCTTCAACAAGGAAACACTCTCTCTATCATTCTTTCTTTAATTCCATTTTTGATTTCTATCACAACGCTCCTTTCGCCCGTTTTCTTTCCTTCAATGAATACCCTCCTTCCCGAAACCCAACTTTCCGCTCCAATGGATTCAAAATCAAAACTTTGGACAACACAAACTTCAACTTCTACCAGCTGTAGCAGTAGCAGCAGCAGCAGCAGCGAGAACGACGAGAGCCCCTTTTGTTCCCAACGCATACCCATCGTCGTTTCTGCCTTGTTCCATTCTCACCGATCACTCGCAGTTCTCTCGGGACACATGGGCTCCGTTTCATGCTTGGCCCTGTGCGGGGAGTTCATCCTGAGTGCCTCTCAGGGTAAGGATATCATAGTCTGGCAGCAACCGGATTTGAGGCTGTTTGCAAAGTTCGGACAAGGAGAAGGATCAGTGAAAGCACTTGCAACGGTTGGCAACAAGGTTTTCACCGCACATCAAGATAGCAGGATCAGAGTTTGGAAGGTGTCGAGAAGCTCAGAGAACGTGTTCAAGCTTGTTGATTCTCTTCCCACAACCAAGGACTATTTGGGGAAGTTCATGAAGCAGAGCAACTATGTCCAAACTCGGAGGCACCACAAGCGTTTGTGGATTGAGCATGCAGATAGCATTTCTTGCTTGACGGTTTATAATGGGTTGATTTATTCTGGGTCGTGGGATAAGACTCTTAAGGTGTGGAGGCTCTCGGATTTAAAGTGTTTGGAGTCAGTTAAGGCTCATGATGATGCAATCAATGGATTGGTGGCATGTAAAGGGGTTGTGTATTCTGCTTCTGCTGATGGAAAGATTAAGGCTTGGGGGAGAAAAGATGTGAAGGGGGAGCATTGTTTGAAGGGGGTTTTGGAGGGTCATAAGGATGTTTCTTTTAATGCTATTGTTGTTTCTGAGGATGGGAAGTGGGTTTATGGAGGAGGTTCTGATGGGTTTGTGATGGGGTGGGAGGGGAGTGGGAGTGGGGGTTTAGAGAGTTGGAAGCTGGTCTCTGAGACCAAAGCACATGAGATGGCTGTGTTGTGTATGTGTCTAATGGGGGAGTTTTTGTGCAGTGGATCAGCGGATAAAAGTATAGGGATTTGGAGGAGAGAGGCTTTTGGTAAGCTTTGTAGAGTTGGAGTCATAAGTGGCCATGAAGGGCCTGTGAAGTGTTTGCAAGCCTCATCTAACAGGATTGGTGGTGGATTTTTATTGTACAGTGGAAGCCTTGACAAAAGTGTGAGAGTTTGGTGGGTTCCAAAGTATAATGATGCAGAAGTAGAGGATAACAACTCTACAAAATTTGGCACAATGAATAAATCCATCCCCCCATGCTAGCATACTATAGGAGCAGTGATGAAGCACACGATCTATTTTAACAGTGTTTGGCGTGCTTCGTTCTTGATTCATTTTCTCCTTTGAATTTGTTTAGGTTACAGAAAGACTGAAATGAAAGAGTTACTTAGACTCAAGCAGCTAAGAGAAGGGAAATCTGAAGATTTTTTTTGTTTCCTAGAGTTGCTGTTTTGCTTTTCGATTTGCAATCGGTGTTGACTTCATATATTTTTCTGAGTTGATTATAGAATATTAGGGTGAATTTGGAGGACTTTATTGATTTTTTATTGTTTTCTTACTATAGAAATTAGGGAGCTATCAGAGTGGTGTGGTTATACTTGATTTTTTCTGTAATTTTTCTTTTATAATTGTATACAACTGTAACTATGTCTATGAAAATTGAATCAATAAAAAATAAATTATGTTATTTGATTCATGCTGCATCCATTCCATGTAACCTTTTTGTTAGTGCTTGCTTTGGAAATAGAAAGAGGACCACAGATTGCACGTTGTTACATTATGCACATTAAAAAGATTAATGTCTTATGACTCCTCAGCAGCAAAACCAAATACAACAACCACCACCAAACAAAAAACTACGTATCAAGAATAGAGAAGGAAAAAAGATTCTCACGACAAACAATGTTGTTATTGTTTGAGTCAAGGAATCTTGTCTTGCGATCTATGATATCTAAATCAACGTACTCCTTCTGCATCTTATTTTGCTAGTGGAGACAAATGTCACTAAGCTGGTATTGGCAAGTCAGAAAGTCCTGGAGTCAAATGAAATCAGAACAAGAATATAGTGTAGAAATGTTCTTTACTTTTACCTTTTAATAATTATTTATTTGATGTACAGCATTTGTTTTTTTGTCTTTACAATACATTGTTTAATTCATTTTAGCTTCTATTATAGAAACTAAAAGATATTAAAAAAAATTGTGTAAGAGATAATGTAGAAACTAAAATATATTGATTGTGTGAACATAGGATGAGACGAGTAATTAAACCTATATTTATTTCTAGTATTTTTCTAGTTTCTATTCAAAACAACTACATGATCAAAAAGATTGAACGAGTGAGATTCTTTCATGGAAACAGGCAACTGGGCATAAATAAGAGAAGGGTGAAACGAGGATGAAATGAAAAACCAATAGCAGTAATCAACTGTAGTTTTATGATTCTTTGAATTATACACGCGTGATAATACTAGTACAAGTTCCTAGATACTCCCATAAATTTGTTGGAGTTGAAGTAATAAAAGAGTGATATTCTGAAGTTATTGAGTGTGTAACTAGAGAGAGGTCCTCTGTGCCTAATTTAGAGTGTCCTTTATTCTCTTCCACCGTCCATTTGGTACAAAGAAAGCAAAAGCAACGATGTTTATCTGGTTGGACCACGGAAAATCATAAACCAGGCAAGTCATTGCTTTAAATTGTCTAAAAAGGCACCATTCAGTAGCCACAGCAAGCCGGACAACCTAATTTCTATAGCTCTCCTGAAGCAATATTTAGTTCGCTGGTTTGGACCACAGATGAAAAGCATTATATTTTATCCATATCACATACGATGTTAACAACATACATGAGGGAGCATCCATTTGTTATGCTTAATATATTCAAACGATGCTCATCTGTTATTTGCACCAACCTTTGCTTTTTGAGAGAGGAATAGAAAGAATGCAAGTCTAGCCATGTGAAAGAAATGAGGCAATCATTTCAAGCAACAAATATAAAACTTGAAAGTAATGCAGGTGCAGCCAACCGGCGGACAAATTTCAAAGTCGTTCATTTAAAGAATATTTCAAGCAATCAGCTATTCGAAAAGTAAAAATTTGTTAAGATAAAAAAATTAAATGTTGGTTGGGTTGGACTTTTTCAACTGCACTAGGAATTAAAATAAGATTTGTCTAATCAATGAGAAAAATCATTAAGAACATGTTTCAAATGAAACGCCAAAACGGAATATGGGAAACAGCATGAAAGAATAGACACAACACCCAAAAGGTATAGATTAAATAATACATACATTTGCTAAATTTGCTATGTTCATTCTTCTCATTTATATAAATGGGGAACACACCAGCAATTTGCTTAAATATAGTTCCAGTGAAAGTACGATTTAAAATTTCAACAGCGAAACAACCAAATTTTGAATAGATAGAGTCAAAGGTACTCAATAGCAATATCCAGAATATTCTTATAAACTTTTACTCACTGTTATCATAAATACATGTTCATGTCCTAAACTAGGACTACAAAACTTCTCTAGATTAAGAAAACATAAAAAAGAATGTTACAACAATTACTCTTCTCACACACTGGATTGGATCGACCATTCATGAGATTTTTTCAATCTGAGCCCTGAGCAATGAATAATCACCCACATTCTCTCCATGCAATAGTGTTTGTAGGGGAATAATGTTTGTCTGTCAGGTGCAGAAGGCAGTATATATTTGACAGAACAACATGAATATGTTCACAGCTGTCTGTAGAAAAGGACATATGCCTGATCATGCAGCACCTTATTTGTTCCAATAGCAAAGACAGATGCATCATCAAATCGTAGCCAACGACCATTAGGGTATTGGGCATCGGCTGTGTAGTGCCCCTTTGAAGGCTCCCTTCCGTGGTGAGTAATTGTAGCAACAAGTTCATACTTTCGACCCTGCAGAAGCATAAAAATCACTCAGACACTAAGCCCTCTTCCAATTAACAATAATACTCCAGAATTTAGATGAAGATTATAGTATCAGTTATCACACAGGTTCTCAAATAGCTTCATGCAATCTAAGTTTTCTTTAAGATACTGAGAAACATTTACATAAAATCAGCAGTAGAAATTAGTGCACTAGAAAGTTGTTTTTATGATAAGAGGAGAATTGTCCTAGAAATCCCTAGTTACTCTTTCAGAGTAGGGGAATGGGGTAGCTAGAAAATCAGTCTCCATAAGGATTTATAACAATAATGTATGACACATTTACACATTCTTTAAAGAAGAGACTCCCTAAATTAATCTCAATGAAATAAAAAAGTGACTTAGAAATAAGTAGTATAAACAAATTTATAATGCAAAAACCTTGAAAGCTCAATCTCCATAACGTTAACTCTCTCCACACAAAAAATTAGTACATCATTAGGAATAAAGTAGTTGCATTCTAGTAACCAAAAAGAGAGGCCATGACTTATCAACATGTTCAGACTATTTACATTCAACACATTAGAGGCTAGAATATAGAGATATATTACTCACTTCAGTAGATGGTGAAACAAGCAAATCACGTCCCAACACCAACTCAAGAGGAAAGTGCACAGGCTTATGCAGCTTAGTGCTTCCCTGGCTTCCGTAACCAAAACGCATCAGGTGCAATATCATTATTTTAGGAAGTGTCACTATTTGTACAGATTTTCTGGCAGTCACAACACCAACCTGAAAGAAATGTAAAACGGTTACTTTAATAGCAGTAATACAATATCCTCCATTTCAACAAAAGGCTACGTTTGCCCGCTATAAAAAGCCAAGTTAAGACAGATGGAACCTCGGAACTGTTATATTAATGACAAAGAAGACTTCATATGCTGCCAAAATTACTAATGGGTGGACAGACATGAAAACCATGGAAGGCATCAAAGGTTTCATACACATTTGCTATCATGCATATGTGTCCACATTTTTTTTACACAATCAAAAAAATTAGTTACTTACACAGCTACTTAGAAAAATACGGTTACCACAAACAGCACATAAGTTATCAGCATACAGAAGTAATTACTACAATGTTATTATGATATGGGTAAATTCGTACAAAATTTACAGTTAGTATAGATGAACTTGTGTATCAACTGTGACAGTGTTAAAGATAATATATTAATATATAAAATGAAATGGTAAAATCGTACAAAAATATAAATAAAAGGGTTACATACCTTTGCAGTGAGTGATGTTCGGTACCCTTCAAGAGTTTCCGATGCAGAAAACAGGCGAAGTGCATCTTCAATAGTGTGTACGTTGTCGGGATGGATGTCAAGATGGAGCAAGAGATATGGTTGAACAGTGGCCGAGGCTCTATTTCCTAAATGACAAAATTAAATCATGTCAATGGCCACTATGCTTTTAGTACTTCATTCACATGTGACAGGGAAGGTGAATTATGGCAAGAAGAAAAAGTAAAACCCCAGAATACAATTATTCAGCATGAAACAACAGACTCACCAGATGAAATTCCACAAAATCTTAATGGACTTGACAGATAAACAAAATCACATTCCTTCACTAACATATAATATAATTAAATTTTGTACCTTTAGCTCTCACCAAACTTCTAAGTTGTCCTCCAAAAATACCACTTAATTCTGATGGGGCAAGGCTTTGAGTCCTTGTTACGGCAGATTTATTCTTTGGCCCCACTGTTTCCCATTCATCATCTTCCACAGAAGAAACAAGAGAAGATTTGCTACCGTTAAGACTTGAAGACTGTCCTTCAAGCTTCAGTAATTCAACATGCATTTGATCCATTACAAAGCTCAGAAATTCCTGAGCATCTTCCTGCCTGAAAGTGACATTTGGATACTAATTATATTACAACTAGCAAGTTTATATTACTAATAATAACATGACACCTAGGAATTGCACACTTTCAAAATAACTTTATGGACCGGGTAACCAAATCTGACACAATGGTTCAAACGTAAAATTGTGTAAATGATAGGAATACATAGGTAAGTCACATTTGAAGAAAACAATCAGAAGATGGAGAAAGACAGCAAATGAAGATTTTGTCTATTCATGTACAATAATATTAAACAAGTCCCTATACAGGCCTGGCAGAGATAATAAACATGACCATTGATCCATTTTTTTCTGACACCGAGATTATGCTTTTAACATGTGATTAAAGGTTAAAATGGTCAGGAACACATCCATACAAAATAAGCCAATTAGCATGCATTCATGAGATGGCCAAGTAAACATGTAATTGTTAGTGAAAAATTCAGTGGTACAACTAAAGATCTGGTGAGGGAAGAATGTTATTTAGGTTTTTTTTGTGTGGGAGGGAGGTGATTAGGAAAGTAACATGAAAACGAAAAGAATATCAAATTATCACCAACCTTGGTCTTCCTGATATACTATTTGGCACATCTGGAGTGAAATTTTTTAGAACGCCTTCAAACATAACAGGGCAAAATGGCCTCCCAGACTCAAATATATTCGTATCTTGCTTCTTTATGTAAGGTGTGCTTGGCATATCAAATTGGGTTATGAAATCAGCAAATGCCGTTAATGTAGGATATTCAACCTGATATAATACAGAATTATAAAAATGCAATAATATCAGTTCAATACTCTTCTAGTATAAGGTAAATTAGAATGTATAATAAAACAACTTATAGAGATGTATTCCTTTGTGTTACTATAGAGTCTACAAGTTAAGCTAAAATCTGTAGATGGAGGAAGCATTAGTTGACATGCAGCAGCAGACAAACTTACCTTAGGAAGGTTGCGTGTTCTTAATTGTTGTAAAAGATGAACAAAAGGTGAGCATGACAGTAGGGCCTGCATGGTTGCATTAAGAAAGCAAAGATTCCCAGAGTTGATAAGGCCTCGAGGCAGTATATCTTTAACAGGCAGAACAGCATGCCCATTAGGTGCCTTTGGGGGCTCTCGATCAGAGAACTTTAATGAAGAATCATCACCATTGCCAGTTTTATCTACGTTCTTCAATCTTTCAGTCTCAGAAGCATCTAGGCTCAAATGAGTAAACTTGTTTGAGGGACCAGCTTCATCAAGTAATGTAAAAGAATTCGCATTTTTTTCTATTGCTTCATTGACATTACTGGTACCGGTGGGGGTAAGGGAGAAATTGGCAATGCTGCCATTCTCTTTAATTTTTCCTGACACTTTAGGTGAATTGTCACTAACACTTTTTACTCCATTGCATTTCTGAGAATCAGCAAGTGGGGCACCAACTGTTGCTTTTGATGAGTTTTGCAGTGTGTTTGACTCAACAGTAACAGAATTCAGAGAACCAAACCGCAGCTGATTCGTCTGCACAGACTTTTCATTCTTCCCAGAAGGCTGCTTTGACAGCAGTGATCGGGTTTCATCTTCAGTAAATGACCCAAATAGTAGCATCTGTGAAAGCAATGGCGCACAAATCCAAAAAGAAAAAGTACATTAAAATTTCAATAAATAACAAATTTATTAAAAAAACAAAATTAAAACATATGGAGCGTAAAACAATTGAACAGTCGAATTAAATAAAGCCAATCAATAAGTAGCAATCCCCACAAAAAAAAATGACATTCTACTACGAAATATTCGTAATAGAAAAAACAATCAATTATTGTACATTCATCAGAATCACTATAAATCTGAATTCACACAAGGAACTGACAATGGAGATCAAAGACAGCTGGAATTAAAAAAAGTAAAGAATAAAAAAAAACTGCAGAAAAGATCGAAATTGAGAATTAGTATGGCGAAATCGCACCTTAGAATCACTCATGTTGGTGAAGAGATGGAAGTTGGAAACCCAAAAGGCGTAAATATAATATCAAACGGCCAGTATAGAACAGAGGAACAGGGTTGGGGTGAAAATCAAAAAGTAGGGTTTTTGGAGACCCTGAAGGAGCAGAGGCAGAGGCGGTGATTGAAGACATGAAAGGGAAAAAAGGAGAGTAGAGAGAGAAGAGAGAGAGCATTTAACAAAGGAACCCTCCTCTCCAATTGAGCCTTGGCAGCACCAACGCGGAGCATTGACAGACAGAACACAAAAGCCTCTGAATTTTTGGTTTAGGGTTAGGTTAGGGTTACAGATAGAATTGGAGATGGAATTGGAATGGAAAGGAATGAAAGGGTTAAGTAAAAACGCTACTATGACCCTTCCTCTTGCCTTAAAGAACGGTGCTACGTGTGATTTTAAATAAATTCAAAACCAAAATACATTTTTCCACTTATAGCTTATTTCGGGTACACCCTACGAATAGTATATTGGTTGGGTAAATTAAAAAATTAAATATGTGTTCTAGTTTGTATTTTTTTTTAAATTGATAATTATTCTTATATTTTAAACTTTAATAAACAACTATTAAATTAAATATATATGAACTTATTTTTTAAAATTTTATAATAATTAACTAAATACATATTCAAATTAAATTGAGTTGGATTAGGTATGATCATAAAAATTTATTAAAATTTAACTTGATTTACTTAAATTAAATTGGGTTATCTAACCCAATAAATATTTTTTATTAAAAATCACAAAATATGACAGAGAAATCAAACAAAATATGTGATTAAAGAAGTAAAAGAGAAAAAGAATAATTTTTAATTATTTGACCAAAAAATTAATAAAAATAATTAAGACATTTATTATTCAGCTATTCTCATCATTTTAAAATGGATATGTGAAAGTGTACAATTCACGTTGTCATCACTCCAAATTCACTCAAAAGGAGACCAACCATTAAACAAATTCCATCCAAACTTAAATCATAAATTAAAACGTACTTTTCTCAAGTAAAAATACCTGGCTGTGTTCACGGTGACTTCGACGTCGCCCCATGTCTTTGATGATTTCCGCTCTCAAACGCAAAAGCTAGTCACTGTGCCTTTCAGCTCTCAAACGCAAAAGCTAGTTTCTATGTATGTCTTCACAACGTACGTCTATCAAATGGATGCGAACGTTAACACAGAAGAGAAAATTGATTTCCGCTTAAAATTGTTACGTCGTCTGTCTTTTTATACTAGTGGTTTTGAGTCAAAATGATAAAAATATTATTTTTGATAAATATTTTATCCAATCCAATTAGATAAATAGGGTTGTTAGATTTTGATATATATGTATTTTTTTATTTTTTTTATTGGTTGTAGAAGTTATTTAATATCCAAAAACATTATATATTCTCGTGTATTTTTATTGCTAATTCTAATAAATATCCTTAAATATGGAAATCATATATTTGTTGTAGAAAAATAAAATTAGTTTACATTTTGATAATGCACTTTCATCAATTAAAGTATTAGAATACGTTATGTTAATAATCGTACACTTTTTTTCAAATACAAACTATTAAAAATAAATTTACATAATTGTTGAATTAGTTAAAAATAATATTTAATCAAACGTATTTTCCATAAATGTATATACAAACTCTTGGATAATTTTACAAATATATTTTCCAAAATTTTGTGTTTATTTTTTTATCAAATTTATATTTTTTTTATTGGCTTAGATCGGTTTTTATGAATAATCCCGAATATTTTGCGATAAAAGAATTAAATACGGATAAGATAATGCCTTAAAATATATTTTGTGCCATATTTTTTTTATTCATTTTTCACTTTCTATAATAAACATTATCTAACTAATTTAACGAATAAGTAATTATAACATTATCTAATTAATTTTATAATATATGATATACATATTAAAATAAAATAATATATTTTAAAAAAAAGTTGCACGCTATCATTACCCTATAATTAACATTTTCTCTTGATAATAATAGAATTTTCAAACCTAAATGTCAACACAAAGATTGATAAATTGATAACAATAAAAATATAATCACCGTATATATCCTTGAGTGATTCAAATGAATATATCAAATAATTGATAACAATAAAATAAAAGAGGTGAATGGATAAATGTTAATATTTATTTCATTTCAATCAACCATTAAACACATTTAACTTTACAACCATGAAAATTTAAGATTTTGGATGAATCTTAACTGTGTGCAATGTAATTCGGTGATGAATCTCAAAGTAGATTAATATTTTTTTTAAGTTTTGGGTTTAAAGATTTCATCAATTTTAATTCATGTCTAATTAAATTTAATAAAATAATATTTTTATAATATAATAAATTAATTTCTTAAATAATATATTTAAATAAAAAATTACTTAAATAGATTTTATTTACGCAATCAACTAAACATGTTTATTGTTTATACACAAAATTTAATAATAAGAAATAAATTTCTCAAATATATTACAGTTATTTTTCTATCTTTTCTGGTTTTTTTCTCTCTCTTCATTTATTTTTTCTTTTTTTTATTCTCCCTTATTTACTCTTCTATCACTAGTATCACTCTTTTAATTAAAACTACTGAATTAAAATTTTAATGAGTCTTTTATTATTTTTTAAAAGTAAAAATATTTAAATTATTCAAAAATACTATAAATTAAAAAATATTATATTATAAATTTTTATGTTATAATTATTAAGAAAAAATATATTTATTTTAAAATAACTTTTTAATAAATATTTTTTAAATTACCTAATATGAATAATTTTCATAAATCAACCTAATTATAATAAGATTAAATTACTAAATAAAAAATACATTTAACTCATAAATATTTAATTTTTTTTAATTAAATAAGTAATTAATTTATGATAAAATAATTTAAAATTAATTATTTACGTTATCATTTTTAATTAACTAAGTGAGGTTTTTTTAGTTTTAATATTGATTTTTTTAAAATATATTAACACAAATTTATTAAATTTCAATATAATAGTTTTAATTAAAAAAAATAAAAAGTGACAGAGAGAAAGAAATAGAGAGGCGAGATTAAAAAAAAAGGGACAACGAGGGGGAAAAAATTGTATCCGAAGCGTAAACAAATTTACTTAACTAAATTTTTTAAAAATATATTATTTATAGGATTGATTATAAGTTTATTAATAATAATATTTTTTTATAAAAGAAAAAAATAAATGTCATTATAAAAGTATTTTAAAATAATGTTTATAAACATAAAATACATTAAAGGATGTAAAATATAAAATTATTAAAATAAAATAAAAATATAGTAAAATAATTATTATTTAAGTTGATACAAGAGTAAAAAGTCTAAATATTCAAATTTAAATATTTAAGTTGATGAATTTATCTAAAATTGGGATGTAAAAAGTTCTTTTATCATCTCTTCGTTTATAAAGAATTGTCGATCTGAATACTCAGAGATAAAAAGGTTGATCGTTAAATATAAAAAAAGAGTAGATTTGCGGGTCCCAAATGAATTGGTTTATTTGAAAAGGTCTTCTTCTATAAATTATCTCTTATTTGGTACTACATGGTTCATATTTATATTTTGGATTTGATTGGATTTAAAATTCAATCAAACTAATATATTTTGGAAACAGATTGAATTATTTTTGTAAATTCAAAAAATAAAACTAAATCTAATCAATATAGTCTAGGTCGGATTAAACCATATCAAATTAGGTTAGATTGGATCAAATCAAATTAAATTGAATCAATTTTAATTTTGTCAAAATAGATTGAATTAGATTAGGTCAAACACTACGTTGAGTTAGGTAAGATTAAATTAAACCAATAAGGTTAGGGTGGGTTTGGTAAAAAGTGGACTGATAATATTAAGTTGAATTGATCAAAATCAGGTCATGTTAAATTGAATAGTTAAATTAGAGTAGGTCTAACTATATCAAATCAAGTGACTTTGATGCAAGATGATTAATTAAGTTTGATTGGATTGTGCTAAACCCATATCTAGTTGAAACATAAATCACACTAAGCAAAGATGAATTTAATCAAATTAAAAATAATCGATATTGGATCAAAATAAATAATTTTCGATTATATCAAATTGAATTAGTATTTATCTAAATTAAATTACTGTTGTATTAAAAAATCTTTGAGACTTTGACTGGTATGATTCTAGTGAAAAACTTGGTTGTAACTTAACCTTAAATCTCTTTTTAATGGGTCGTTCTAATTTGAATTTAGAATTATTGAGTCAGGGTCCGAGATATTAATATTTTGTTTATTATCTTAATTTATTTAGACATCACACAACTCCTTATTCAGAAGTTATAGACGTTGAGTGTTGTTATAATGTTCATTATCTTCATTTATTTAGATATCACACAACTCCTCAATCATAAGTTATAAACATTGAGACTCATAATAGGTAAAATGATCATGTTATTATATTGTTGTTTGGTTATAGGGTGAGACCCTTCATTTGAGCATCATATAGGCCCCCAACCTCAAGTCATAGATGATGAGACCTAGGTAGGTTGTTAACAACGGTATTATGTCGAGTCACTCGACCTGGCTATTACACTAATAATCAAAGTACGCTTGACGTTGTATGTTCATCATGTAGAGTAGATCCTATAAGGTCTCTAAATAAATGGTTTTGGATTTTAGTTGTCTCAAATTTTTTTATTATTTAAATACTTTGTTATCAACATTCTTAATCATCTTTCTTATATATGACAACCAAGTATAATATTTAATTATGGTAAAATGATATCATTTTAGAACAATAAATATAAAACAATAGTTACTATTTTGCTCATAAGTCTCACATCATTTAGGAGTTGAGGCTAATAGCAGTTTATGTACATTCTTCCCTTTCAACCCACCGATGTTCCTTCTAAGGACAAAATTATGACGGGCTAGAGTCCAAAGCAAATAATACTTTGGACATGGGAATTGATCCTAATGATGATATCATAACGGACATGAGATCAGGACATTTGTTCCTAAATGGAAGATTGGCGTCCACCATGGGATCGATGATAAAGTTTCGCTCTACTCATACCCTTAGTCCTCAATTGATGCGCTATGTTTATGAATTTTACATTATTTAGGAGTCGAAGTCAATGACAGTTTATATATATCTTCCTCCCTCAACCCATCAAGACACTTTTTAAGAAAAAATAATAACGGATTAGAGTTCCAAAGTGGACAATATCTCAAGAATTAATCCTAACAATTCTACCATAATGGACATGAGACTCAAACACTTTTGTTTCTAGATGGAACATTGACGCCCATCGTGAGACCTAGTAAAATGATTCCCACGATCTCTTTCATTCCATGGTCCTAACTCAAAGTTAGACAATATCAAATTCAAACGGTGATATAGATCTGACAAATGTCCTTAATAGCCTCAAGAAACATATGGATCAATGTCAACAAAGAAATCGTGAAGAGATAAATGATTTACAATAACCATATGATGCTAAATTAATGCAAATCTAAGAAAAAGTAGCAGAAGATTTGGATCTAGTTCAAAAACAACATCAATCCGAGCTCCAAACTTTACGAAATGAATTAAAGGTTCTCATGAAACGGCCTCGGTCAAATAGGTCAAACTTGTAGTTGGAAGACACCGCAATCGGGTCAACCACGAACCCAAAAATTATTAATACTGACTATCAAAACACACTCAATAATTCAAAACTCTGAAGAAGCAAAAAGTCAACTTGAACAAAGATTGAGAAGTCATTCACGATAGAATGTCAAACCATCATATCAAGCAATAAAAAACCACTTAAAGGAGAATTAAAATTCGCAAAGAGGATAAAAATCAAGCATTCAAGAATCATGGAAACTAATTAATTGGAAAGCACTCATGTTGGAGAAATATGATAGTTCGATAGACGTAGAAGAACACTTAATATAAAAAGAATAAAACTTTGTATACTAATAGTATTATTTTATATATAGAGATAAAATTATATATATAAAAAAAATTTGAAAACTAAAAAGAAAAATTCTCAATTTTTATGTTATAAGGTGAAATAAGAGAAAAAAATAGAATTAATAAGTGATAAAAATAAAAGATAAAAATGAAAAAAGAAAAAAATTGGATGTTTGACAAAAAAAAAGGTTGTAATAAAAAAAAGGGTGAGAAAAGAAAGATAAAAATCTAAAGATAAAAAGAAGAAAGAAACAAAAAATGTATGTGAAATACTTTGTAAAAAATAAATATGATATTTATTATAAATAAAAAATTAAATTTTATTTATATTTATAAAATATTTTTATTCAACTTATATATATATATATATATATATATATATATATATATATATATATATATATATACTACAACTATATAAAATATTCTCCTAAAAGTTTATTGACTTTAATACTTTTATTTAATTTTCATTAAAAGATATATTTCACAAATTAGTTTCTTTTTACGTATGTTACAACTAATGTTATTTATATATAATGTATATGGGCTATTTTTTGGTAAGTTCTATCTTTAAAAATTATTATAAGATGTGTAAAGTTACTAAAAAAATTCACATTTATATTTTAATGATTACAAAATTTAATGAATACATTTATCAAGTGGTTTCATTGTTACATTATTAAAGCTCGATGCTTACATGTTTAAACTAGTTATTCTAAAATTTTAACGGAAACAAATCAAGCCAAGAATAAGTTACATGATTTAGAACCAAACATACACACACAACGCAAAGAATCCTCCATTTTTTTTTCCTCCACAACTTGTCGACTTAAACAAGAAAAAATTCTAATAATCCTCTGTTACCAGTTCAATTCCGTTGTTTATTTCCAAACTCTGTAGCATGCAGGCCATTGTTTGCGAGGGAAATGTTACCTTCACTTTTCTCAAGTCACTCAAAGACCACAGTTCATTTGGAAGATCATGTAACCTTTTACATTGGTGAATGGCCACACTTTGAAGGCGTAACATTGCACCATTGCCTAATTTCCAGTTTTCAATGTTTAAATCCATCATTTCAAACACTTCCAGTTGTGGGAACTTGTCTCCAACACAATTAAGGTCAAACGAATCCGAAAGCCACCAAAATTCGTTGTCTCCCCGTAGTCTCAAGATTTTTAGTTTGGTGTGATTTCCCAAAGCATCTATCCCTTCATCACTAATGCACTTAACACTTGACAACGTTAACTTTGTAAGGTTTGGAGGAAATTTGAGGTCACAGGTTAGAAGGTCCAAGCTATTGGCAATCTTCAAGACAGATAGACAACTCAATTGCACTAGGCTTTGTAATAGTTCTCGTGGCTTGCAACCATTGTTCCTTTCCACACTCTCTTCATCTAAGTGCACTTTAACATCATACCTATCTCGAAGGTATATCTCTAACTTGTTCAAATGACTTAGTTGTTGTAGGCTCTGCAACAATTGGGGTACTTCACCTTTGTATCTTGAAGGAATTCGCAACCCTATCCTTTTAAGATTGGGAAATATTCCTTTATTTATCAGAGATGTCGCTTGCCTATTGACTACTATGGCAGAGATGGTTTGAAGATTCCACATCATCTCATGTGATCCTGAACAACTACCCCGTAGCATGACAGGCCTTTGGGTATACAAATGCCTTAAATGTTTAAGTTTCCACATTTGAATAGGGACAGAAATTGGAAACTTCCTTTGCCAATGATGACCTAGATCTAGGGTTTGTAGATTCCAAAGGTTAAGTATAGAAGTTGGAAGAGATGTAACATTCTTTGGGTCTATTCTCAAGTACCTTAAGTGGATGAAGTTCCCTAAATTAGAAGGGATCCTTCCTCCATAGCTGTTTCTTCCAAGCTCTAACACTCGAACCAATTTGAAGTCTTCCGAAAGCCATTTCCACTCACTTCGAACTAAATTGTGATCTGGGCCAAAGAAGAACAGAGAACGGACACATGAATGATCATTGTTGCTTGAAGAAAAGTAGTGACCGATCTTACAGTGGATGGACAGTCTGCGAGGTTTTGTCGGGATTAAAATGTTATTATCTGTGCAAACTTCTAAAACCTTGCCCTCTTTGCTCTCTGATATGCAAAGATCTCGAAGAAGATCATGTATGTGACACGTCTTCACACCTCCATTAGTCTTCACTCTTGCTACTTGGACCAAACTACGATCAATGAGCTCGTACAAATAGTCTTCTGCAACGTCAGCTGGGTCTCTATTCCCTGTTTCTTGTATAAAACCTTCCACAACCCATATTTGCAGTAATTTCCTAACAGGGATTTCAAAGTCTTCAGGAAATATCCCAAGATACAGAAAACATGGTTTCAATCTCCTTGGTAAGTTGTCGTAGCTGAGTTTGAGAACTATATCCTTCACTTGGGTCTCATCTTGAGTAAGATACCAATTAACATGACCCACCACTTTAGACCATTCTCTCGGTGACTTTTCCTTGTGGGCAAGTAGCCCTGCTAAGACAACGATGGAGAGAGGCAAGCCACGACAACTTTGAACTATCTGCTTGCCTAGAGGCTCCAAATCAGAAGGGTAGTCTTCACCCCTGAACACTTTCTTGCGAAACAGCTCCCAACTTTCTTCTTCATTGAGGAATTGAAGATAGTAAGGAAGATCAGGGTTAGTATGCAAGGCCACCTCTTTCAAACGACTAGTGATCAATATTCTGCTGCCTCTGTTGTTGTCCGGAAAAGCATCTTGCACCTCGTCCCAATCTCGCCTTTTCCATAGGTCATCTACGACCACCAGATACCTTTTCCGCTCCAAGCATTCCCGCACCATTTTCTTCAGCTCCTCCTCACTCAAGCTAGAAAAGTCTCGATTTTTATTACCTTTCTTATTGCCTCTGCATTCGTATTCAGGATTTGGCATCAGATGCGTAAGAAGGCCAAGCAAAAGCTCCCTGACTCTGCACTCGTTTGACACATAAACCCATGCGCCACACTCAAAGTGTTGCTTCACCTGGCTGCTGTTATAGACCTTTCGGGCAAGGGTGGTCTTGCCCAACCCCCCCATGCCAATGATAGAGACAGTGTTTCGATTTGAACCACCTTCCAGGAGCCGCTTGATGACCACCTTGGAGTCATGGACAAATCCAACCACATCTTCTTCCTCCACATTTCTTCTTAGCTTGTGCAGTGATTGGGCCCTTTTCGTCTCCTCCTCTTTATTGCTTTCTTTGAAAGCATCATATTTGATCTTGCCGTCGCGTATTTCGTTGAGAGTGGTTTTGATCTTGTCTATTTTGCCAGCTACGTCATGGAGCAATCTTGCTTGATCAAAGGCGTGCAGCTTCCTCCCTAGCGTGGTTCTCCTCTTGTGAAGAGCAACTTTAGCTACGAATGTGTCGATGACATCCTCAGCTAACTGTGCCACATCTCTGATTTGGCTCACAACTGTATTTTCAATACCCTTCTTGCTCTTTGAGGTATTGAGAAACTCGTTGATCATTTGAAGCTCGTTCTGGAGGGACTGGATCCCGTCCTCCACGCCACACAGCAACCTAGCTTCCCGTGCCACAAGCTGGGTTAAGTGATCTAAAACAAAGGAAACTAAGCTGTCTGCCATTACAGCAAGGACTTGCGTGTAGATTTTGATCTGTGATTAACAACTATGATTTGGGTTGGTGATGGTACAAGAGGAACAAGACTCACTAAGGCACTAGAAAAAGGAAAGTCATGTGATATAATCTTCTCCCTTGAGCTTTCTTGCAGGCACATCCTAAAGAATATCTAAATATATATTATGGGAAGTGGTTACAATAAATAAAGAAGACTTGGGGTCAAGAGCTCTCGTCTTATTTTCCAATGACTTTGGTTCAACCATACACAAAGTTCAACTGAATCTTCCTCTTAAGTGCATAATCACACCTTTCACTCGTTTTTTCCTTGAAATATTGATAGCGGGACAACATTAAGTTGCATATGTGCATTGCACCTTCGTGCTATGTGCATTGCACCTTCTACTCATGTGCAATAAGATGAGATAATAATGTATCACTTTCATCGCACCTTTGTTGCAAAGTAGGGCCTTTTGGTACTAAAAAAAATATTTAGATCAGTTTTTTTAATATAATTTTTTTATAAATAATATATATATATATATATATATATATTTATATATATTATCTTATATTAATTACGGTCAATTCTAAATAATAGTTATTTTATTGCATTTTTATTTTATTTTAATAATTATTAATTTTATATTTTTTAATATATTTTATTTTTATAACTTTCATTATAATTTATAATCATTATAAAAGAAATTATTATTATTATTATTTTATAAAAAAATATTATTATTAGTAAACTTATTATATATTTATTATATTATAAAAATATTATTTTAGACCAGTTGAATTTTTAATTTCTAAATTCATATATTTGTTGATTCAATGATCAGTTGGATTTTAAAAATATTAGTGCAAATTAAATAAAATAAGTTTAAAGTTTCACCCAAAGAAAAGAAGGTCTTCCACAGTAAAGCACTAAAGTTCACTTTTTAAAGTTTACTTTAATTAATTTAGCCCACTAGAAGTTCCTTGGCTCTACAAACACCTACCTAGCAAATAACACTTTGGTCTTGTTTAACAAATGACGTGTGAAATGAAAAACACTAATGTTTTGTTTGGAACCGGGAGCAAATTTGATGGAGTGGAAAAGGAAAAGAAAAAAAGAATAGAAAGGAGATGGTTTAGATTGAAAGAAAAAAATAGAAAATAAAGAGAGATGAGTGAAAAGATGATAGAAGATAAGATTGAATAAAAAATTTGAAATAATAACATAAATTATGTAATAACCTAAATATCTATAAAAGATAAAATAAGTATAAATTAAAATTGTGATATAATTTAATTTAAAGTAATTAATTTATATTATACATAAAATTATGAGATATATTAACATTATTTTATATATAAAATATAAAAATAGTTTGTGATATTTTGTAAGAATATTTAAATTTTTTTATTTATTACCTTAATAATAATTTATAAGTTTTATTAAATTTGTAAAAATTTGATTTCACATAAAATATAATATTTAAATATTAAAAAAATAAATTATAACATATAAAATATACATTCATCCAAAAAATTTAAATTCATCAAAAGTGAAACTTGAATAAAAAAAATACAATGATAATTAATAAAATTACAGTCATCCAATAAAATTATCTAAATAAAATTATAGTCATAAAAAACCTAAAAGAATAAAAATTATAGTCATAAAAAATAAATAAAAAAGTATAGTCATAAAAAAAACTTAAAATGAAAAGACAAATAAAGAGATAACATAAATGATATGAATGAGATGTCTACTCAAGACTCCCACAAATATGATCTATTGAGAATTCAAGTGTGAGTTTGAAGTCTCACATTAGGTAAAAATGAGAAAGTTGAGTAATTTATAAGTGAGAAATACTCATAACCTAATGTCTTAAGGTTTTTGGTTGAAAGTGGTGTCATATTCTCTTATATATGATTGACTCATTACGCATTTGTGAGAATCTCCCTACTATTAACCCTATCGAAAAGATCCAACATGATCAAGTGTGTCTTCAACTTGATTAATGTTATGGTGCACATAATTAATTATTTTCAACATTGATTTCAAGTCTACTCATGTGTCTTTTCACATCCTGAATACCTCCCATATTAAGTTTATGGTATCAACTTGTTAGGAAAGATATACTTATTCTCCTTGAATGAGTGGTTATTCTTGTTCAACCCTCACATTTTCAACATTGATTTCAAGTCTACTCATGCGTCTTTGCATATCCTGAATATCTTCCATATTAAGTTTATGGTATCAACTTGTTAGGAAAGATATACTTATTCTACTTGAACGAGTAGTTATTCTTGTTCAACCCTCACATCTTCATCTTTACTGGGAAGGTTATCTTGCTCAAGGTCAAATTGTTGGATATGGTGATCTCTGCCATGTTATCATGCAACATCAACATTTACGACATTCAACTTTTTCAACACAGGGAGTAGTGACAAACCTAAACGAGACTGTACAGGTACATCCCCTGATTTTATTAAAATTATTACTAAGTATCTATTTTTTATTTTGCCCCCATAATCTTATATATTTGAACTCGCTGGTCGTTGCTTTATGATAGACTTGTGTGTAGTTGAGAGTGTACAAATACACCGTTTGACTTGAATAAAATTATAGTTTAGAGTGTAAATTATCTCCACTGACTTAGGGTCTTAGATCCATCATTGCTAGGGAGTGACTTGACTATAAAGTCAAGTCCAAGACATAATGTAGTAGAATACAAGTTATTAAAAGACCATAAGATAAACACAATACTATTAGGCCTACATTTTCTCGTATGTCTGATGATATAATGAGGTCAATTAATCAGAATTATACACCATATCATAAATATATGATCCTATAAGAATTGAGCATAATTGTCTCCTCAAGGACTAAGAATACGAACGAATACATAATATAAAAGTTTGTCCTCTACGGTCAAACTACCGACATTCCTACAAGTTCATACTTGTAGTTCCGGTCTAACAATGGAAGTCACTGCCTCATCTTTATCATATCCTAGGTCTTCAGGGTTGTCAACAAGATTACTCCGACGTTCCTGATATTTTGAATGGGCTAGTTTAGCCAATCATCAGGTTTTATCCTGATCTGCATCTGTAACACCTTAGTTACCACGTCATCGAAGTCAGACAATTTCAAATTTGTGGAAAAGACTTTTATGATGTTTTCATAAATACTACCCAACAAAGTTAGAAATCTATCTAACCCCTGAAAAGAAAGGTGATGTGGGAATTTGAACCCAGCCATAACAAAAAAGTTAAAGTCCATTACCTTTAGTTGCACTATGGGTCTGTGGACATAATCTTCATAATATTTTTTCATTTGTCTTTCATTGCTGAAGTAACGATCATGATCTAACAAAGTTGAGAAAGGAGACAAGTTAGGAGGAGGGGTTGGTGCAGGTTCCTCTATTGCCTTTTTCCCCCTACTTTGTGACACATGTCTCTATCTCTTTAGTTTTGAAGATGATGAAGACATGATTCAAACCTGTAAATGTAATTAACACTCGTGCATTAAATATATAGATGAATAGAAACATAAATAAACATGGAACATTAAATATCTCCTAACAAACATAGTACATCAAGTTGTCATTGTTTGCACATAGTTCGAAGAAACATAAGTTAAAATATTTTACACAACATAATGATGCAAATGAAAAGTCACAAAATCATCTACGAAGAGCATCCACTAATCATGTGCTTAAAAAAATAATTAAGTCGTAACTCTAGTTGCATGCCAAAAATCATATCCCTATGGATGGGTTTCTACAGCAAAACTCATAGCATTATAACATCAATTGATCATCATGCAAATTAAGTTGGCATAATAGTTGTCATATATCATTAGTTGAATGTTGTAGAGTTTCTTTGGATCATCACTTGTTCACTCATCAAGGCAACTCACCTTTCCATGATCATGGTTTAGAGCTCCACAACAATAACATGACATTTAACGAGATCACATTGACACTCAATTGCCTCAGTCAACTTTGCAGAGTATTTATTACTCTCACCAATTTTGTCCATCAGATTATGTATTCCTATGCTCATACTTTCAAATTGAGCACTCAAGCCTACATCTACCATGTTGGCCTTTCTCTTTGATCCCCTTGATGAAGATGCTTTTGTAGAAGGGACAGATGGAGATACCCCGAATTGTAAGAGTCCATATGGGGTGGACTTGGCTGCATCTCATTAAATATTGGATTATACTCATCGTGCATAAATGGATTTGCATCAATATTAATCAGATTGATGCCTAAGTCCATTGTGAAACCCTTGCATCTGTAGACTTGGTGTGCAGTCCTTGTCATGTGCCCAATGGCATGATCAACTCCCCACAATTCTTCTAACAAGTCATAGAATTTTATTGGGGTTACTTTCCATTTAGTAGTTGATGGTTTATCTTGAAAAACTAAATAATGTTGACACACTCGTTGGTGCAACCTTAAATATTACAAATAATTGTTAAAATATATTATTAAATATAATACCTAAATCAATTCATTTTAGACTTGAGGTTTAACTTCAAATCTTCTTATGGTATCATTCCAAGATAAACCGTTGAGACCACTAAATAAATCATGTATTTCCCACCAACAATATTTAAGATTTTTTGTCTATTTTTGACATTGTTTTTGTTTAGGCCACTATAATCTATCTATCTATCTATCGTAGCACATGGACAATGTTAGTATATCCTTAACTTGTCTAACTTCCATCTATCTTATTCTCAACTCAAGCCTCATCAGTCATTGTTGTTAGTAGTTAAAGACCCATATCTTCAATCCATTTTGTAAATTCAAGCATGGTCTAGCTAGAATCAACTTGTTTTTTTCCTCTAGGGATGGAAAACGAATCCGCTCGCCTCGTTTTTGCCCGCCTAAAGCGTAGGCGGGACTGGGCGAGCTAGCCCGTTATAATCATGGTGGCCTACAGGTCTCGATCCGCCCGCCAAAGGGCTGGATCGACTCGTCATATTTCTTATTTTATTTTA